AGTTAATTAACTTTTTTATATAAAATTGCTCTTATATTATAACTAGTATTAGGTAATGCATTCTTAGCAGACCCACCCACCAGTTGTGACGCAAGAACTAGATCCTGCACGTGACTGTCGGCCTAAACTGGTGCCTACGAGGCACCCAAAGGTTGCTTACGTGACGCACATCATTGGCTCACAAGGCTGTACAGTGGCTGTCGTGCCCAGCTCAAAGTTACTTTGGTGGCGGCCCTGCGCTGCGCCTGCTGTCGCGCCCCTTGTCTTTATCAGCGCGCGCCCGTTCTCATGCTGCTTCTTCCCTCCCTCCTTCAATCTATTTCAACCCATCATCCTCCATTCTCCCACAGTTATTCTCCTCGATCGTCACACTCTTCGCCATCGAGTATCTGAAAGGCGCATCTATTCTCTTTTTTGACCGTCGCTCTCGTGTACCCTCTCATTTCTCGCGACAGCGCATTTTTTCCCACAAACAACGTACCCTCGTTGTCAAATCCTTCCAGCAACGATCATCTATCGTCTCGCTGCACCACGCAACTGTTCATCACCGACCAAAATTATTCCTCAAAATCTATCATCATGTCTGGAAAGCTTGACAAGCCCCTCGACGACATCGTCTCGGCCCGCCGCAAGAGCGCTGGCAACCGCCGCTCCCAGCGCCGCACCGCTGGTCGCACTGCCGCTGCTCCCGCAGGGGGTGTTCACAAGGCAAAGCCTGCCCCCCGTGGTGCCGCCACCAAGGGTGTTCAAGGCAGGACCGCCGGTCCTCTAGGAGAAAGCAAGGTTATCGTCAGCAACCTGGTAGGTATCAGCAAATTCACGTACCACTCGACGCGGCCGCTAACCGTACTCTAGCCCAAGGATGTCTCGGAGCAGCAGATCAAGGTATGTCTCCGTTGAGGCTTTTCACGCCCTTCGGACTTGTTCGATCTTCCCTTTCTCGCTACGTTTGCTCCCATTACCGAAGTGCATGGGTCCACGAATCCAGCTATCGCGCCTGAGAAAATACAGTCTGGCCCTTGTCTCCTTCCCGGTTGATGCTTGCCGCCGTCGGTTGAGGTTGAGAGCATCTAGTCTTGCCATAGCCTATCTGTTTTGCCTGGTCAGCAATTTTCCAGAGGCTGCAATGACTCCCAAAGATGCGCCATTGGACTATCTCATCGGTTTTGATTTGAGAAACGCACAATTCGCATTGCATGCAGTGTTGCCGTCAATTCTTTTGATTCAGCGAGTTGAGAAACAAATGCAGTACGCCAGCCCGTGAAACGGTTCGCAAACGCAGTTGACTGCTTGCCCACTTTTCCTGCTGGGAGCACTAGGAGCATGAAAATGGTCGCCTGGGTTGGGAAAACAATGCGACGTCTCTATCAATACCTCACCTGGCTGAAAGACGCAGGCGCAGAGAATGAGAGGAACATATGGGCAAGCAGGAGGCTTCTAGCGTTGCTGCTGCTGCGATGGCATAAGTGATTCTGTGCTCGGCAACAGTCTGCGCATGACTTTGAAACTCGTTGATCATCATGACAATCGATTTTTACCGCCGAATCAACGCGTATCCATGGACAAGCTATCGAATGAAGCTCGGAATCGAATTCTGGCCGTTGAAACATATCGCTTCGCTTTCGGTTTAACTAATTACTACTGCGCCGTCTAGGAATACTTTGTCCAGTCTGTCGGCCCCATCAAGCGCGTCGAGCTCTCGTACGGGCCTAACTCTCAGAGCCGTGGTATTGCCAACGTGTTGTTCCACAAGCCTGATGGCGCTAGCAGGGCCTTCCAGAAGCTCAATGGTCTCCTCGTTGACGGTCGCCCCATCAAGATCGAGATTGTTGTCGGTGCCGCCCAGGCTGACAAGGTTATCCCTCCTGTCAAAACTCTGGCTGAGCGTGCTACGTAAGTTCTCCATCTCACACAAGAGCTTGCCCTGACTCTAACTTCATATTAGCCAGCCCAAGTCTCAGCCCAAGTCTGCTGCTGCTGGAAAGCAGAGCAACAATGCCGGCAAGGATGGTGCCAAGGGCAGAGCTGCTGGTAAGGGCCGTCGCGGCCGCAATGCTCGTCCCACCAAGAAGACGGCGACTGAGCTTGACGCCGACATGGACAACTATATGGCGGATTCTACTAGCAACAATACCACGGCCGCTGCTCCAGCCACTGGCCCAGCCGCTAACGGCGACTCTGCCATGGCGGATGAGATCAGCGTAAGTTGAGTTCTTGGCTAACGGCGAGTCACAAAGCTAACGCGATACTAGTAAATGGCGGAAATGAATTCAGATTGGGAGGAATTGTAATTTTATATACGCTCAGAAAGCCGAGAAAATACCAATACCAAGGGGGAAATCATTGTAATAGGACAAATGGGCTTGCTGAGAAGAGCGATTGGAAGAAATGAACCAGAATGTATTCATGAAATGACGTATCCCTATGGCGTGTACCATCGTGTACGAGTGCCGTGCGCGACTCATCAGCGCCCTCGACGAAGAGGTCGATATTGCCACGCCGCGACATCACTGCAGTAAAACATAGCAGCTGGACCGATCGGACTCGCTGGGACGAGAAATGGAACTCTGGGAGCTGCCATTCTGACTGGTGGATGTCCGGGAGGCGAGAGAGGGGCAGCTCGTGCTCGGGTGAAAAGTACTGCCGATGGTGATGTTGTTGGTAGAGTCGGCACTGGCGTGGAAGCGCGGCTGGCGCGGGGTCTGCGCTACTGATGTTGGTTCGGAGTACGGTTCGTCGCCGGGCCATGCAACAATGCAAGCGCCGCGCGCCACGTCCTGTGCCGCGTGAATAGAAGTATATATCTGGGCAGATGGCATGATAATGTTGCTGGTTTTGTTTTGTCTTCCATGCACTTTTTGCTCTGATTCTTCCTCGCCCTTGGCCCAAGTACTGTTGAAGGGGGGGGGGGGGGGGTTGTGCTTTGAGTTGCCGTTTGCGTTGCTGTTGGCGCTAGCCGGTAGCAAGCCACTAAGAAGCGCCGCGAAAAATGGAGAGAGTTTTGATGCGATGAGGAGGTGTAAAGTAGAAGGCAGAAAGTGTCTTCCAAGTTCAATGAGTAGCGGGAAGGTTAAAGGCCAAAAGAAAGCGTCAAAGCAAGGCACCAAAAGGGTTTTGTCTTGCCGGACGCAGCAAGGCACCAACCACACTCGAGAAGCAAGGCGGCACAGGGGGGGGTGTCAGTGGCCGGTCTGGCAGGATAGGGTTTGTGCGGCGCGGGGAAAAGGACCGTTAGGAATGAATGGCCTGCCAAAAACCGGGGACTATCGACAATATCGGAGGATGTTGCGGCACGTTGGTGGCGAGTCAGTTGAACAGCGAACGCCTGCCGTAATCTGCTGCGGCTCTAGACCGTAACGATGGCTCGGTCGGATGCCCGTGGACGAAAAAGCATAAAAAGAAAGCCTCCCAAAGAATAAGGAAAAAAGAAAGGGGATTTAGAAAAAAGGAAAAAAAAATTAACTGATTCGTTGTAAGTCTCGGGTGCCGGGGGCGATAACAATCAGATCTTGGGGATCGTTGATCTGCAGGTCTTGAACATGGGCAGAAGTTGTGTAACCGTTGGGTCTTGTTGAGGTAGTTTTTGTCTTGTGTGCGTGCGTGTTTAGTGCGGACATGTTCCGTGGTGGTAATTTTTTGATGCACACCGTTATGCCCGTCTGCGCGTGTGATTTATTATTACTACATACACGACGACACACACACACGCAGGCCGTAAAACGGGCAGCAAGGTTGCGGGGGGAGTCCAAGGCAAAGGGCAGGTGGTCAGCTGGTGGCTTGCGGCTTGCGGCTGTAGTGGCCGTCGTCGTCTCCTCATTGGCTTGTTGGTTGCCTCGCCATTTCTAGTTTTGGCAAAAATAATCAATATATATTGGTTTCGTGACGACTCTGGTCAATGGAGACCGCGCGGGGGAAGGAAGAGGGGAGGGGAGGGGGCGCGAGGACCGCTGTTTGTTAGTTAGTGATGCTGCTGCTACCAGGCTAATACAATTTGTGGCATGAAAATGAATTGCTGTCCAACCTTGGTAGACTACTCCATACAAGGCTCTCTCGTATGGCCAACCCCTGCTCCTCTTGCTTATATTGGCATGCCACAACGCTCGGGCTACGCGCCAAGATCAAGTCAATCTGCTACGTCTCTTGGGCACAGTATGGAAAGACGGGGGAAATGGTAAGGCATGGCTTTTCTACGCTGAACAACTCCTGGCGGCCTGGCTTCGCCAAGCATCACTCGTACATCAGCTGACAACTGCCAGTCACCTCTGGCTCAGGCTCCCGCAAATGGAAGGTAAGGTAGGTAGCTCCGCGTTGGGTTTGACCCTCCGCAGGATATGCGACAGTCACCATAACAGGTGTGAAAACGGGCAGGAAGTGCATTAGTCGTCAATCCGTTTACTAGGGTGCTCCCAGTAACCTGTTTTTTTTCTTCTTTTTGTTTCTGGATGTCTCTCTATCTTACCCACCCAACTCGCCAGTGTGAAACAAAACGACTCTTTTTGCAATACGAAATACACCCATTTGCTTTTCCAACCCGCGGCTGGCGACAGTCAGCATTGATACATTCGGGCTTACGCCTTGGTCGTCGGAATCTCCTCAACATCCTCGTCGTCGTCGCCACTGTCGACATCCTCAGCATCCTCACCACCGAGATCGGGCATGTCGCCGCCACCGGCCAGTTTCGAGAAGTCGATGCCGCCAAAGTCACCTGAGAAGCATCATTAGCACATGTTATATTTTGGTGGAACTGTTTGCGAGGGAATGAGAGGTCAGCCTGCCAGACGGCGCAGTTCGTGCACCTGATGCGACACAATTCACCCTCATCTCAATGTTTCACGTACCTCCCATACCAGGCATGCCGCCCATGCCGCCAAACTGGGAGAAGTCCTCCTCGGGGGCCTCGTTCTGCTCATCCTCATCAACCCACTTGTCGAAGTCGGTCTTGAGGAAATGCAGACGCTTGCTGTCCTTGAGCAGGCGAGGCCAGTACTCTTCCTTAAGCTCCTTTTTCTGCAACTTCATCTCAATGTTCTTGGCAGTGTGGTTGATCTTGCTCTCGGCGGGATCGATCTCGGCAAAGAAGTCGAGCACGACGTGGTACTTGCGTTTAAGAGTGCCCGAGGTACCCGTGAAGGAAAGCGAAGTGGGCTTGAGGTCCAGCTTGATGTCATCCTTAGGGACATCGGGGACGGAAATGGTTAGATAGATGAAGTTCTTGGCGGCGTCGGTGCTGGAGGAGCGTTGAGCCCAAAGAACTGTGTATCGTCAGCATCTGGTGTGCGGGACGGCGGAATCGCGTAGCAGATTAAATCATATATAGCTTCGAATGAGGCCAACTATGTGCGATACAAGAGCTTGACAGTATTTGCTGCATGGCGCAGAACAGGTACCGACATATGGGGGCGCGTTTCGGTAGCTTTCGCGTTGAGAGCATAGGCAAGTGAAAAAGACGTACCTTCAGGAGTGGCGGTCTCGGCAGACATGATGAGGATTTTGGTAGGAAATTTAAGTGGTTTGAGAGGCGGTGGAAAAATGCCGAAAGAGAACAAGACACGTCCGTTGAGCAATGGCTAGGCGTGCGCTTCAAAATGCGTGATCGTGGGAATATGGAGGAGGAAGAAAGCAGTTGTGATGGAGCAAGGTGGTATGAACAAGGCGGCAGTCTGCTGCGTCAAACGAGCTTTTGGTGGTGCTAGCCTCCCCTCTTGTGCTCTCTTGTGGTGCTTTGGATTTTGGCGCTGGCTGGTTGCCTTGCCCCTCTCCTTCGCCTGCCTTCAGCCCTTTTCTGGCACATTCTACGGTGGGCAGGGTCTGAATAAGAGGTACAAGCGTTACCCAGCAAACACCCTGCATTAGCCAAGTACCTTGCTAACGTCACCTCTTTGGTGGCACTTTGGCGACTTCCCCAGGCAGGTGCTCGCTGCACATATGTGGGCCGATTCAGTGCCAAAATGCATTTGTCCAGCTCCAGTATCTGCGCTGTCGCACGGGACGGCTCCCGCTGGCAATGGCTTCTGATTTGGAATGAGTGGTGACATTGTGCAGCTTGAATGTCTCAAGTAAAAAGACAAACACAAATGTTAGCTCTGAAGACTGACCCTCCCGCTCATTGTAACAGTAGCTGAAGCTCAGAGCTTTCTCTGCTCTCATGGCCCACCACTCCGAGCTCCGCTGTAGACCCTTCTGTACTCGCTTTTTTGGCGGGCAAATACAGGTTGACAGGGCAAGCCCGCTGCGCCACACATCAACAGTTGCAAGTGGGCAGGCGGCACCTGCCACAGGTGGCTTTGCTGGCCGGCTGTACGTGGCTGTGGGGTCCAACCCGATGCTCGATGCATTGTACGCACCTGAAGCTTCCGCAGGCATACCCATCTTCTAATATCGGCTGCGTCAAATACACAAGCCGCGTGGCCAGTTCTCTGTCGTCCATACGAAGCGCACAAACACACACAAACAGCTCCTTTCTCCGGGCCTGTATTGGCCGCTTCCCGCCGTCATTTGGCCCTGATTCATCGGCTTCCCCGCGCCGCTAAACATGGAGGCGCTGAGGGCCGTATTTACCAAGCCGGATCCCCAGGCGCAGGTACGCGACGAAGCGGCGGCTCTTTCATCGCTTGTGGTGTCTTGTCTGACACGCTCGTTTATCTAGGCCCGAAAATGTAATGCGCTGCTGCGCACCAACATCCGCAAGCTCGACCGAGACATCAACAGCATCAAGCAAGCCGAGGCCAAGGCGCGACAGCTCATCATCCAAGCCGACAAGCGTGGGCAGCGCGACCCTTCCCGTACTGCACAGGCAAAGAAAGAGGTCCGCATGTACGCCGTCGAGCTCATCCGCGCGCGCAAGCAGACGGCCCGCCTGCACACGGCAAAGGCGCAGCTTAGCTCAGTGCAGATGCAGGTCAGCGAGGCCTTTGCGGTGCGCAAGATCGAAGGGTCCATAAAGTCGAGTGTGGGCATTATGAAGGACGTCAACAAACTTATTAGTCTTCCTGCGCTGGCGGGCACTATGCGCGAGCTCGGCACCGAGCTCATGAAGGCCGGCATTATCGAGGAAATGGTCGAGGACGTCTTGCCTGAAGACAATGATTTGCTAGTAGAGGACGAAGCCGAGGCCGAGGTGGACAAGGTTCTCAGCCAGATTCTCAAGGACAAGAAGGAGACTACTGCGAACTTGCCGGCTGCGCCCCTACCCGATCCAGAGGTGCCCAACGCGGCAGAGGAGGTCGAGGAGGAAGAGGACCCGGAGGAGATGATGGATCAGATGCGGGACCGTCTAAATGCTCTGCGAAGCTAGATACGAAAGGGATAATATTGCATGCCATGCGAGACTGGTTATTATTGGGGCATGACAGCGGCGTTTGGCGCTTGGGATACAATTGCATTCATTGAGCCTCTTTGAAAACACACCTGTTAGACAGGTCTTGGACTACATCAATGTTCACGGACAAACTGCTTCACACAGAGCGAGTACCAGTGAAATTATTGGTCAAGTACTTTAGGCTTCTCCATCTGACTACCTACCAGGCCTACCTTGTACTGGGCCACGACAAATAAAGAGTGTAGCCGAGACCAAGCTAAGCTTATACTTGGCGAAACATTCGCAACACACGGCAAATAATTTGGATTCATGCAGTCTTATCATTGCAAAACCTTTTTGCAAAGTCCAGGCCCTGCTTCGTCAAATCCATGTACTCACACCTGCAGCTCTTGCAGTGGTGGGGGTGTGACAAGCCTTGTCCAGGGGCGCTAATCTACCTCTAGGCCGATCGTAAACAGCAACGACATCGAGGCCTCCTCCCACGTCAAACAGCTTCCTTTCACACCATCTCGTGCCGACGTCCCGCGCAGCCATGTCTTCTCTGGCTCGCACGCGGTCGCTGCGCAAGCCTGCGGGTCCCACGGCCTTACCTCCTCGCGAACGGTTCGGCGAGCTGAGCCAGCCCGACCCCAACCGCAACCTCTCGCCCAGCCGACTTCCCACGAACCCAGCCTCGCGGCCGACGACGAACTCCTCGACAACCGCCACTACCCCCGCGCGAGCCGCTAGCAATCGCCTACACAGGAAGGGTAGCGGCGCATCATCAGATGGCGCTTTTGCAGCGACGGCGCCGACGGTGCCTAAAAGGTCCGTCTCGCTGGGCAAGAAGACTGTGACGGCCGCCGCTGCCGCTCAGGGGAACAGCGCTGCGTCGCCCGCGAGAAGGGACACGCATAGATATCCGCCGCGTTCTTCGGCGACACGTCCGGCATCCATGGTTCTGAGGCCCACGTCGGCTGGCTCCACGGGCTCGGCGCCTATGGCGATCAGACGCACGACACCGACACATGCGCGTGCCAACAGCACTGCCGGGGCGGGAGCAGGATCAGCGCCGCTTGCAGCTGCATCACAGGAGCGTATGAGCCGATCTCGGCCACCGTCGCGTGATTCGACAACATCTGTTGCCGTCACACCGGCCACGCCCAAACGACGCGCCGTATCGGCCGACAAACGGCCTATGCCACCCACCACACCCAACAAGGCTACCGCCGCCGCGCCGACGCCAAGCCTGCAGCACCGTCCGGCCTTTAACACACCGCACCAGCGGTTCTCACCCGCCAAGACGAGCTCGCCCAAGCCGCCCACGGCATCGTACACGCAGCGGCCATCGTCGCCGTCCAAGCTGCCCGCCAATATTGCCGCGTCGGCAGAGACGGCCCGTCTGCAGGCCGAGCTGCTGCAGCTGCATTTCCTGCACCGCGACGCTGCCAAAGTGGAATCCCAGTGGCACGCTAGCGCCAAAACGAAGCTTGGCCTGCGCTTCCACGAGCTGCGCGATGCCCACCAAGCGCTGGCGGACCGCGAGGCCGCCGCCGCCGAGGCAGACAATCTGCAAGCCCTGCAGCGCTGGGGCGGCGCGCTCCTCGACGCCAAGATCCGATCGCTGGACACTGCCATCAGCGGCGTCTGGGCCATGAGTGAGCCCGGCGGCAAGTACGCCCGCGTGGTTCGGCGATTTGAGCGCTGGGTCGAGCGCGTCATGGACCTTGAGGAGGCGCGGGACAATGGCACCATTAGTCTTCTCGTAAGCGGCGGCGCCGCCGCCGTTGAGGACGCGCTCTTCGTGCCGGAGCTCGACCTGGCGTGGGCGGACGACTGCGAGAGCATGGCACGCAAGCTCGAGGATTGGCGGGACCAGCTCGAGGGCGCAGGCTTGGAGAACCAGAACGACAGTGCCAAGGCGACTATGGCGAGTCTCGGGCGCATGCTCGACGGCGCAAGAAGCCTTGTCGGGGACATGCTGGCGGAGCTGTCCGCCATGGAGGAGATTCGGCAGGCGGCGCTAGCGCGCGAGGAGGATTGGATCGAAGCCATGAATAAGGACGATGACGAGAGCGATATACCCCTACGAGCCGGCGCAGTTTGGCGGGCTTTTTAAACTTGAGAGCGTCTTAGAAGAGGGAGGAACGGCTTATTCGTTAGCATACTCATACACACGCGGCACTGTTCTCGCATCAGCCGTTGTATGACCGGCGTCATGGCATCACAAAACACTTTCCTCGTTCTTACATGAAACCATAATTTCTCTTTCTTACTAACCAAGATGTGACGGAATTTATATCATTAACTTCTCAATTTGTAATTGCCGCTACCTGCGTAGATTCTCCATAATGTCTTCTCAATCACCTCTTTCATGCGTCAGATCATGCACGAAACTCATTCTTGATAAATCCGCTTTTCTCTTTTATTGCCTTTATATGTTTTATGCTCCGTGTCCTCACAGGAACGAGCGGCGGGGGAAGCCGACGCCCTCGACGGCCGGCTCGTCGACGAACCAGCTGCAGCGGTCTCCGGCACCCTCGTTGACGAGCGTGCAGGGCAGGCCGTCTGCGGTGTCAAAGATTTGCTTCATGATTTCCTTTTTGCCGGCGCCGGTTGCGACAAAGGCGACGCGTACGGCATGGGTGACGACGGGCAGGGTCAGTGTGATGCGCTTGGGCGGAGGTTTGGGCGAGTCGGAGATGGAGGCGACCCAGGCGCTCGTCTCACGGAGGAGGGCGTGGTTGGGGAAGAGGGAGCAAGTGTGGCCGTCGGGCCCGCAGCCGAGCAGGACGAGGTCAAAGATGGGGAGGCGGACCGAGTCGCGCGAGGCAAACGACGCGACGAGGGTCTGCTCGTAGGCGTCGGCGAGCTCCTGAACGTCGTCAAGATGGGTGGCGTCGATGGGGTGAACCGCGGGCTGCTGGTCGGCAGGGAGCTTGTCGAGGAGCTCCGTCTTGAGTAGGGCGTAGTTGGAGTCGGCATGGTCGAGCGGCACGGCGCGCTCGTCAGCGAAAAAGATCTCCCACCGGGTGAAATCGAGCTTATCGTTGGATCCCGTCGAGGGCGTGAGGAGGGCGGCGGCGAGTGTCTTGGGGAGTGAGCCGCCCGAGACGGCCACCTTGAAGCTATCGTGGCGCGCAAACCCGGCGTTTTGGCTCTGGATAACGTACTGCCGGAGGGCCGGAGCGAGCGTGTCGACGCCAGAGAAGGCGTACAGGTTGGGTTGCGTCTTGGGCATTGTGTGACTAGGCTTTTATGATGATGAGCTGCAGATCAGCTTGAAGATGTAGTCGATCGGATCTAGGGGAGATGATTGATTGATGCGTCGTCGTCGGCAAAAGTCAGGGAATTTTCGTTTTCTGCAGTTGGAGTTGGAGACTGGCGGGGTTGAGGGGCATGCAAGCGGTTTTTTTCTCCTCAGAGTGCACAGCTGCGTCATTGTTACAGCCCTGTTAACCAGCGCGGGGCGGACCCAGTGGTAGCGTCATACAGATAGCAGCCCAACAGTGCGTGGGATGGCCACGTTGAAATTTGCATGTGCTTGGAGCTATTGATTCTTTTTAAGTAGACTGCAGACTGCGGTGTCGCTGAAGATACCGTATTTGTGATTGGCGGTATTTTTATCGTGCCGCCGTGTGCGGCTCTACAGCCACTGACTCCTGAAAAAAATGCATTGTAGATGCGAAAAGCATACTCGGCAGACAAAGCTTATATTGTGTCTAAACTGACGGGGACAGTGGTCTTTCATTCGATCTGACGAACTGTTCCGAGACAGATTCTTCAAAGTTATTCGCAACGACCGCAGTGTATGATTGTTGTTGTGAATTCTACGATTGTGCTTGTGTGGTCCTTGTAATTTCAAAGTCAGTTTGGAGGGCAAACCGAAACTACAGCACTTGACCGTGATCTTCAAATCGATGCTGGCTTGGATGGCCGCGATTTTCTGAGGTTCTGAAGTAAGTTAGTTGTCGTAACTCCAGCAATCCACGTGTCCGGCCGGGAGCTGATCAAACTGGCCTCTGGTGGACTCGAGTTGTCGAGCTAAGTTTTTTTAGTGTCGGGAAGTGGCACGGGAAAAACGAATATGGCCGAGACCAAGCGCAAAACGCTCCTTCAAGCCCTATCACAGGCCGCAAACGTCTAGTACAGTCTGGGTCTTGGCTCACAGTGGCAATGCTCCGCAATGAATGGGTGTTCGTTCGGCCCAGTCGGAAGAGTTCTTTCAGCAACGGAGCTGACGTAAAATTGCATCAGGAAATAGCAATCTTGTCCCAGGGGAATGGTACTTGTTTCAAAAGCCCGTGCCTGGTTCCAGTGTTTGTCTGGGTAGGTCGGTCGGCTAGGCTGATCATGGCCCGCGGCAGCGACCATGGACGCAGCGAAACCTTGTTCACCTGAACAGACTGCATGATGTTGCTAGTGTGCGACTCTAGGGGTCAGGATCCGCAAGCAAAGTTTTTGAGAGGGAGACGGATGGCGCGCATGATATGCATGATGTGCATGATGTGCATGATATGCATGATGGGACGGCACTTGGAGAACGAAGGTATCGAGGAATGCGGAGGTGCACTGTCGACTGCAGAGAACGGCGCTTTGAAAGGAGTAAAAAATTGCCAGAGGGTCGATAAGCAATGAGCAATCAACCGTATGCTACGGATTAGAATGTCAACAGTTGTCAATAAGCAATTAGCAAGCAATCCGTGATGGATGATGTGTGATTGGTTCGATGGCTGACTTGGGCACTGTTGTCTGTGCCAGTCAGCTTGCCAGCGCCAACTGCCAAATGCCAGCCAGTGTTTAAGATAGGTGGGCAGGGTGGAACCGAAGTGCATTTCAGCGTGGACAATTTGGGTTGACAAAGCCAAGTATGAACGCTGAATGGACGATGAAATGGCTCGAGAGTGGCGCTACAGCAGTGGCGCTGCAACAGTGGCGCACCAAAGTGGCGCACCAGAGTGGCACTTCAGGGTCCTTTTTCGCGGAGCAGCCAGCGCTTTCCAGCCAGATTATTCCAGGGCCTTGTGGAAACTTCTCACTGGTTTTCAGGGGCTCTTACTGGCTGCCCACGACCCTTGCCGCACAGCTTCGTTAGGCAGCGGGGCGGGGTCGGCGGGCTCCCACGAGTGGACTTGGCGGCCTTGTCTTTCTGTGGCGCTGCCTCTCGGCAAGCCTCCAACTGGCCTCGTCCTTCTGATTTCTTCCACTGCGCCCAGTTTGGTAATTTTCCTTGCAGCAGCCAGCTGCCACTTGCCAGTTGCCTCTCTCATCTGATTCTGCCCACATTTCCCTTACAGAAAATTTTGTACCACCCCAAGCGTTCCGGCTTCCTTTGCAACTGTGCATCGCGACATTTCTTCTTTCTTGCAGTTGTTTACTGGAGAGGTGGCTTTGGCCATTCTACTTCTCAAATCCCCCTCCTCTGCCTGATTTTACACTGGCCTTGTCGCACCCATTTACACATCCCAAGCACGACTCATCTTTTCATCCCACCTCCGCCGCGGGGCAGCACAGGTCACAGCTCCTCTACTAGGATAGAGCCGCAGCAACCATCAACAGCCCGACCTAGACCAGCGACGGCAGTTTCATCAGACAATATTTCACATTGCATTCGATCTTTTGCCTTATTCAATATATTCAATCTCTTCGCCTTAATCATTTCTTCGGAATTTTTCCCCTGCAGACCCGACCCCAAGGAGTCGTTAGGCATCTGGCGATACTCCGGCCTGCCAAACTAACGATTCAGACGTATAACTTCGCCACATATCCGCTCAAAAAAATGTCAGACATAGATATCCAAGAGCAGCTGCTCGATCGCAGACTCCAGCTTACAGAAGGTCTCGCAAGCCTCCCCTACGACCTCGTCTTGTACATAGAACGAGCCCTCGTCTACGCAGACCTTGGCTACCCCGACCTTGCGGCTGGCGATGCATACCGCGCACTGCTGCTGACTGATGAGGTCCTGACCGACGGCTTTGAATACCATGAGCAGGCTCTGGCAGCTCTGCGCATGCGGCTACCGCCTCCGATGCCCGATGTACTCTCGTATGGCAAGCTCGCCGATGAGTGGTCGCCTTCTCTCGGCGTCGAGCCGCAAGACGAAGAGGAAACCGTGCATGCGCTGGCTCGCTTGTGCTCAATCCGCGCCTATCAGATACTTTCCCTTAGCCTGCTCCTCTGCGGATGTCTCAAATCGGCATTCACCTTTTGCGAGCGAGGCCTGGCCGCCAGCCCAGGCAATCAGGAGCTCCTCAATACCAAGAGCCACATTCAGACAGTCGCCCGCCGACGGCTGCGTCGCGACACATTTGAAGTCAGCGATTTGCCCGACTCGGGCTTGGTGCGCCGGGAGGTGTATCCGTGGAACGACCACGAACCCGACCGTTTCGATCAAGAGTCACTGGATTCCCTCAACGCCGACCTCAAGAAAATGGCACCCAAGTGCGCGATCAAAGTCGCCACACTGCCCGTTTTGCTAGAAACTGCAAGCAGCAGCACCGACTCTCTCGAAATTATACCCACCTGCAAGCAGCTGGGCGTATTCGCCGAGGAGGATATTGAGCCAGGCGAGGCGGTCTTGCGCGAGTACACCCTGCTCACGGCTAATAACAGGCTCAAGGACTCGGCCTGCGACGCATGCAGCTGCGATCTGCCACCCATCGGCAGCGAGCAAGAGCCGGTTCAGTGCGATGAATGCTACGATACCGTCTTTTGCAGCCAGTACTGCCACGATGAAGCCCAGGAACGATATCACCCATCCGTATGCGAAAAGGATGTCGACGCCATCGCCAAAGACGCCGACAAGTTCGAGGCTGACGACACACTCTACCTGCTTCTGCTCGCGCGCGTCCTTGCAATTGCCGCACACCAAGAACTTCACCCCCTCGATGTCCGCGAGGTGAAGTTTATCTGGGGCGACTTTGTACCCAGCCGCACCAACGACATTGACGTGTCTCCGTCAGCCGGCCCGCCGCCCGAGTGGACGCTGCCATTCTCTTTCAAATACAACATTGAAACGCCACTGCACCTTCTTGAAAAGATGGACATTGACATTTACGCCTCGCTCGCCGACTACGATCTATGGGTCCTCAACACGCTGTACGCCAAGTTTCGTGGCACCGCCTCGGCCCGCAAGAGCTCGCGCGACGGCCGTCCCGACGTTGCCGCTGTCCACCCCTACTGGTGCCTCGCCAACCACGACTGTGACCCCAACGTCACCTGGGAATGGGGCGGCCGCATGGTGCTCCGCGCCAAGACGGAGCGCAAGGTTGGCGGCCGGCCCGGCGGCATTCGCAAGGGCGACGAGATTCTCAACCACTACTGCGATATCGACCTGCCCGTGCGTCAGCGCCGCGAGTGGGCGCGGGGCAGCCTTGGCGGCTGGTGCATGTGCCAGCGCTGCAGGACCGAGTCTGCCGAAGCCGTCGTGGACAAGGAGGACAAGGAGGATGTTGGCCACAAGGAAATTTTGTGACAGATGGAGAGGTGCCTGTGTTTGAGAGAGCGCTGGCGTCTTTCCTTTTCCTGCCCTTGCTCTCTGGATATACCACGATACATGGATGATAATAGCAATGCAGACGCCGTCCTGCGATATACGTGCGAGACGCAGATCATCCATGAATACATAGCTGTCAACATGACGCACCCGATCTCGAAAACAATTCGAACAGAAGATACACGCATCTGCTGGTGGCTTAGCACCACTTTACCATATCTATACCTACAAAATAATACAATATCAACAAAATTATGAAATCAAAACTTTTATATCTAATTATCGTGCAAAATGTGCTTCTTTGGCATCTTGACTACACAGACACGACGGTGGTTATGAGGTAAACTCTTTTATTGTTGTTCTTGTATCTGGTGATTGCACACTATAATATTGTAAAAGGTACGTCTAAGCTGCTAGATCTTCTTCTCGACAAGAACAAAGCCGAAAAGGATAGTAAAGATACTTTTCATGCATCTTTATAACAAAGGCAGAAAAGAAGAAGGAAATAAAGACGGGAAAAAAGGTCGGCACATTCGCTTGCATGTAGAAAACGATCCTTGCATGAACCCATGGCAGAAGAAGAGAGAAAAAAAAAAAAGACCGCCCTGTCTGCGTTTCCCGGGTTATCCGTCACTGCTACCCTGTCCGCTTCAGCGGCCTGCGCCGGGAAGCGGACGCGGGCCGACAATCTGTCTACGCCCGGCGCCGATGCCCTGGCTGCCTCTGTTTTGCGAGTCGCCGCCCGTGTAGCCGCTCCACTGGCCGACGTCCCAGCGGCCGCCCATGCCGCCACCGATGCCTTCGACGCCGTCGCCGGCGGGCACCGCGCGTGCCGTTTCCTTTTGAGCCTCTTCCCACTCGCGCTGGCGCTCGCGCTCCATTTCCATCTCGCGCTCGAGAAGCGACTTGCCGGCCCACCCGCCCGCCTTAGTCTTGGCCTGGCCCTGCTGGCGACGACGGTCCTCAGCGTCGCGCTCCTCTCCGCTGAGACCAATCTCGCGAGAGTACGTCTGCTGTGCCGCTGGCGCAGCCGGTGCGGGATGGCTCGCGAGGAAGCGGCCAGTGCGGTTCTGGGGCGTAGGCGGCGATTGGTAGGTGGCGGGGTCGGGTAGGGGCCGGCTGCTGCCACCGGTGTTGTGCGACTTGACCTTGGGCGTGGCGGCAGTCGGGTCAGGCAAAGGTCGCGGCGATTGCGGTGCTGGCGAAGAGCGGACTTCAGGCGCCCGTGGTTCCGGCGTACGCTGATGCCGGATGGATTCGGGAGTTCGCTGCACCGGCTCCGGCGTGGGAGACTGCTGCTGGTGTTGGGTCCATTGCGTCTGCAAGTACTCTCGCTCTCCTTGTGCCCATGAATCCTGTCGCATGGGCGGGCTTTGGACAGGCGCGGGAGCGCGGGGCCGGCTTCGAGATCTGGCTTTGGGAGATTTCGTCCCAGCAAGTGGCGACTTGAATGGGCCTGCAGTGGAAACTACGGACGATCTGTTGGACACGCGCTCTTGTCGCTCCCGCTCGTATTCCGCCTCACGCTGTCGTGCCTTTTCGAGCTCCATTTCAAGGGCTTTTATACGGCTGCTGTCGTCGGTCGCGTTGCCGCTGGTGGCACGGTCGGCCTGGTACTGGCTCAAATACTGGCCACGCAGCTTCACCGGGCTGCGGCTCCTTGCTCTTTGCCGTTCTTCCTCCACCTTGGCCTCGGCTTCCGCTTCCTCTTGCTTGCGTCTTTCTTCCGTCAGCTTCCACTGGCGCTCTTCTTCCTCCCATCGTCGCCTCTCATCGTCTGCTTTTTTGCGTAGTCTTCGCGTTTCTGCTTCCCAGCGCTCCTCCTCTTCCTTCTTAGCTTGGGCCTCCTCGGCAGCTAAGCGTTCTCGCTCTCTTTGCTCTTCCTCCTGTCGTTGGCGCTCTTCTTCGGCTGCCTGCTCTTTTCGTATGCGCTCCTTCTCAGCTAGGCTAGGAACGCGCGGTCCGCTGTTGATGATTTGTCTGCGGCCACCAAACTGAATACCTAGATTGCCTTGACTGGCACCACCCATATACCCATACTGTGCAATATTCCAGGCCGGAGTTGAAGCGTTCTCTTGCTCCTTCCTACTCCAGGTGCTAACCGGACCAGGGGAGCTAGTATCACGCGTAGGGCTCTTGGTCGGGCTCCAGCGGCCGGAGGCAGAGTCGCCTGTTCGCGACGGAAGCATACTAGATCGACTTGGATTACTGTATGCTGATGACGTGTTGCTCGTAATTGAGACTCCACGACCACGGAGTCCACTACCAAGGGGTGTGGAAGGTGCGCCGGCGGGCTGCGATGACCGGGGACCGATGACGTTGGGGAAGCGTTGAGGGTTTGCGCTATGGGCGGCTCTGCTGAACGCGCCGAGGCACTGCAGGACTTGCGCCGGGTCTTTCTGTTCGTAGAGGTCGACGGTGAGGAAGATGTCATGCTCGTGTAGGTTAAGCGGCGGAGACTGGCAGGCTCGGAGAAAGTGAGAGATGTTTTCCATTTGCACGAATGGCATGGCGGATTGCTTGAACTTGATTCCCGGGGGGGGTATGGCAAGATTGATGAGCCTGGATAATGATGAACTGATGAGTACTGCATCTTGTAGCCAGTAGGGGGCACTCTGGCGGAAACTTACTTGCAAAGAGCGACGCCATCTTTCAAGCCCTCGAGGAGATCTGGCGAGGACAGCTTCTCGCCCAACGACTCTTCCACCCATGACCGTGCTTCGTGGGCAGCCGCAGGGGTGTATTTGTCGAGGCGCATTTTGCGCAGATCTTTGTCCAGCGACGACACAGACGCCATTGTTAGAGGCTGATGTAGCCGAACTAAGTGGATGTGTGAGGAACAAGATACGCGAAGATCCTTTGAGTACTGTTTCTTTCGCAAAGTCCGGTCGAATCCACAAAGTTGACCGTGCTTCTCCGTTTATCTGCCGCGCAACAGGGCGGTGCGCTGATGCTTGGGCACCGTTGCTGTTCAAACGACTAATATTGGGTGCCTAGGTATTGGCAAATTTGCCAGACAAAGGACAGGATGGGGCAGCAGAGAGTGGTCGTGAAGCGGGAGTGCCGGAATGCGAGCCGTTGTATTGGAAGATTAGCATTCTGGTATTTGGCGCATTTCAGGGCGGGAGCCTCGCAACGTGGAAAGGAGGGGCAGATTGGAAAAAGGAACGAGCCGTGACGCTGCGGACTATTGAAAAGAGATGGAATTCAGGAGTATCAGTTTTCGGTAACGGCGAAGAAAAGGTACAATAATTGCTTTTTGACAAGCGTTGCTGACAGCAAGTGGTGAGGGTCGCACAAGCCAGGACCTTGGACGCGTGGCGGCAGGCACTTCGTCATCAACAACTTGACAATAAAAGAACTAAATAACTCCCTTGATGAGCGGGGCAGCCCGAGGCCGTTTGCCTCCATCCAAGGAACAGAACAAAGAGGAGAGCACAAAGGTACTTACTAGACTGGCACTACAGCGGACTCTTAGCGCTGCTTTAGCGGTCCTTGGTGGCTGCAGCCCAAGTACCTCGCTGCTCTTCTCAGTTTCGTCACCAAAACAACCTGCCCGATTGGGCGCTAAGCTGGTCCCCATGGGCAACCTGTTAGTTAGTTTCTGCTGCTGTATAAGTACCATGGTACCCTGGACAAGTTTTACACGGCTTGAATTATCCTAGATCACGCCCTCGTCGTCGAGTCAGCCAGACTTCAGCGACATGCAACATTAGTTTTCAACCAAAAGCACACGATTTCTCATTGATTTGCGACAAGGGCGTTGTGGTACAGTGGTTGACACCGCGGTGCCACAGTCTTGTGCATAAATTGAAAGGCGTCCACAGCAGTAACAAGGTTTGTGTCAGCGCACGATAGGCTTGACTAGTACCTGAATATCGACCTCGGCTACAAAAATAACACGGATGTTATAACATTTGCAAATTTGCAGACCTGCAAACCTCGGCTCTTTATTAGCTGCTCAACTCTTACCGCATACTACGTTCCAAACGTGCTCGTGTCATCCCATCCGACAGCACGGAATAATAAGCCGATGTGGACCGCGTTGCGTCGCGAATCGGCATGGCGTTTCTTGGCATGTAAAATTCCGAGGCGATTAAGGCGTTTGTGCATTGGTGGACAGGGAAGCCTTGGACAGGGCCATGGTGGCCGAGGCAGATTTGTAGCTGTTAAATATTGCGGCGTTGCAACGTGTGACGAGACAGATAGCCAAATGGGGGTGGACACGGTTTTGAATCGCTTGGTATTAATGCGAGATCTCGCTGATACATAAGATCTATAGCAGAAAAAAAAAAAAAAAAATGTAATAGATAACACCAAGGCAGCCCGCCATTAGGCGCCAATGCAATGCTCATGGCCGCATGATGCAGTAACCCTCCTTACGAGCTCGATTTGCTCATCTTTGTCTCCACGACCGTCTGATCCACCGCCTTTCCTTCCCTCTGCCTCTTCGCCTCCATCTTTGCCGCTCCCTTTGCTCTCTTGGCGTCCATGCGGGCCTGATCCTCGCGCAGCTGGCGAATGAGTCTGCTCTTGGCGCGAATCTTTGCTCCGTAACGCCAAAACACAAACGGGATCGGAATCATGATAATCTCGGCGACGCCGAGCACGGTGCCCGCCCAGCGCGGCGTCAGCGTGTTGTACATGGTCGGGCCGGCGAGCGGCAGCGTGCCGCCAATGACGCTGCGGATAAAGGCGTTGCCAGAGAGTGCGCTGGCCGCGTAGATGCCGTAGGCGCCGGCAAGGTAATTGGAGCCGTAAATGAAGACTATGGTGTTGCCGAAGCCAAAGGGGATGCCAAAGGCGATGGGGACCGCCCAGTGGATGCTCGTGGGTAGGCACGTCCACGAGAAGCCCATCTGACCGATGCTCGCGGCGATGGAGCCGGCGGCCATGACAATAGCTTGCGCCTCGGGCAGCACTTTGCCGGTTTCGGGGTCGCGGGGTTGTCGGTTGATGATGCGGCGAAAGATGGGTTCGCCGCAGAGTGACGTGAGAGTGCCGATGCCGATGCCGATAAAAGATAGGCCGGTCGTGCCGGCAGACCAGCCACGGTGCTGCGAGAAGACGATGGGATAGGCGACAAAGCAAAGATACAAGACGGCGTAGACAATGGAAATCCTATCGAGTACATCCAAAATCAGTACATTGCGGCGGGCTGACAGTATTCTGGAAGTGTTATGACTTACCATATGTTCATGAACCACAAGATGGGTTCGGTGGCGGCGAGGATAAACGGTCGGCTTAGATTCACCTTTAACAAGTGCAGCGTCGACAGCTTATAGTCGTACTGGCACCAGTATCGAGGGTCGTCATTTTCCTTGCGCAAGCGCGCGGCCTTTTTGCGGAGGATGGCGGGCGCATACGTCTCCTTGACGGTGAGCATCATGAAGAAGGTGACGCAGCCGAGTATGAGAATGACCCAGTTTGCCCAGCGCCAGCCCAGGTACTCGAATACGAAACCGCCAATAATGGGACCGGTGACGGGTCCGTTCATGGGGGCGAGGCTGAAGAGCGACATGGTGCGTGCCAGGTAGTCAGGGTGCGAAATGTCGACGACTGTGCCGGGCGCATTACCGACCATGACGGAACCAAACAAGGCGCTGCACAGTGTCAGTACATACATACAGGGAATTGGGTGCCATAACAGGTGCCCGCAAAAGGAATGACGAGGAAAAAAAAGAAGACTTACTCAAAGAATCTCACGACAATGATGCTCGTCAACGAGTGCGCTACGCCAGACGGAATGATGAGCAGTGCCCAGCCGGCAATGCAGACGAGGTAGACGTTGCGCCGGCCGTAGAGCTCGCTCAGCGGCGCCACAATCAGGGTGCCGACGGCCAAGCCGAGAAGGTAGGTGGTGAGGCCGAGGGTGACAATGGTCGTCGAGGCGCCAAACTCCTTTGCCAGGCCGGGCGTGGAGGCGGTGTAGCTGCTGCTGTAGAGGGTGGTGCCCCAGGTGCCGATGGAGGCGACGGCGACGGTCCATCCGCGGTACCAGAGCGGCCAGTTCTTGGGGTTCTCCGGGTCACCTTCCTCAAAGATGACCTCGTACTCGGGAGCGCGCGAGAAGACGCTGCTGGCGCCGGAGCGGGTGTAGGTTATGGGCGCGCGGGCCTGGCGCTCCTCGTCCGTCTCAAGGTCAACGGTGACGGCGCGCTCGAGTGTCTCGTAGAGATCCTCGTTATCGATGCGCTCCGTCTCGGCTGAGGCGCGGCTGCGGAGCGACGGCCGGCGCGAGGGCGGACGCCGGACGGGGGCAAAGATGACTGAATCCGTGTCCGAGGACGGTGACGAGGACGAGGAGCCGTCGAGGCCGGCACCGCCGCCGCCGGTGGCGGTTGGGCTCGGCGGCACGGCGTACGCCTTTTCAGGATCGGGTGGTGGTTGTGGCGCCATGCTGGACAAAGGTCCCGGGGGCCGTTGCAGAATTGGTGTCTGAGACAGCTGCTAAGCCGCCGCCAAAGGGTTTTCCGGCTCAGACAGATGAAGATTGGATGAATTTGACCCCAGAATTTTTGGTTCATACACAGCGGCAACTGTCACGATGAGGCTTCAACATTTGGCTCGAATCGTTTGGGGCTGAATGTTCATGTAAAAAAGGGAGGGGAGGGGAAGAAGAGGAAGGCAGCCGGAATCCTTCACGACACTGGGGCGACTTTCTCTTCCTTCGTACCCCCCCCCCCCCCCCCCCCCGCTCTCTCTCCGGAGCCGCGCTCCTGAATCAAGAACGTGGGGGACACAACAGTAGCAGTAATGTAGCCCATTATTTTTCTTTCTCATTAGGCAATTAGTGTTGACAAGCTTTTACCGGCCAGTCAAAGTGAGCAAATTGAGCTCGAATGGGCCAAGTTAGCCTGCCCCAGACCAGGCCCCAGTAGCGGAAACAGTGCGCCAATAGAGTGAGTCTAAGGGGACGCCATGTCCGCGGGCTTTGATCCGCTCGCGGAAAGGGCTGAATTTGTGAGGGGAAAGGTAGGAATTGTTTCGTCTGAAGGGCATTAAGGTTGTGTAGCTTCGCCCAAGTTGGCATAAAATGTTTCAAAACGTCGTATCACTAAATACTGAGAGCCACTCTGGGGTTACTTGCTGGCATGTCGCGTGTAGCCAAATCTCGTTGCAGCCAAAAGTGACGCAGCATGAAGGGGGAAAAAAAAACACGAACCATTCGGAACGGAACATGCTTGTCATAATAATTAGGGGACCCACGGACGCCTGGTCAGTCTAGTCCGATCGGCCGAGTCTGGCTGCTGTTGCGCACGGCAAGCAGCAGCCGTAGAGTCATGAACATCAGTGAGCGCCCGCCGCGCAAAAAGGCGGACAAGAGATATTTTGTCACGGCCATTCAAATTGACCGGTGAGGCACGATTTTTTTTTTTTTTTTTCATTTTTCTTTTTCGTTCTTTCATTGCTGACTCGACCCAGTGGTCCATGGCCGAGCAAAACCTGTGTGACCCCCATCGGCGATAAGTGAGACGGAATGAGGGTGGGCGCACCCCTGTCGCCGCGGGCCTGGCAACTGCCGGTGAAAAGAAATGTGACCGAGCTTGTGAGTCAAGTGCTGTCAGCTCCTTTCCAAGACAGGGCAGAAAGGATACAATGGCGGTGTTGCGCATCGGAGCGGTGCATATCAGGCTGCAGCCGTCAGCCGTCATTTGTCTCTGGCGGAAGGCTCTGTTCCGTTATTCCGAGAGAGGAGACTTGCTCGTCCGATTCTACGTTGAACATGACTGATGGCAGGGAAATAAATCAAGAGAGACAACAAATTAAGACAAAAAGAATACGAACCGATAACAATGCATTCTATGACTTTTAAAACAGGCCCTCGGGCAATTTTGCGCCCTTGGCTTGCAGCACAAAGCGCACGGTGGTTTTCATCACTGCCACCTTGTGTCGATCGGCGTTACTAGCCCGGCTTGGCAGAAAAAAAAAAATGTCCCGCCTCACGACGACGACAAGCCAGCATCATCAACCAGTGACCACCACAGACCACCGACCTCGCCCAACCCAAACCCCTCTTTCCATCACCGCTTCCGCAACCCATGGCCGGCAATCCCATCGGCCCCATCGGCCAAGCGTGGCTCAAATGGAAATCGCTACGTCTTCCCTGGCGCAAGCGATTCCTCGTTGGTAAGCCGCTCTCTCTCTCTCTGGCGCGCGCGCGCGCGCGCGCACTCTCCGCTCTCCATCCCACACCCTCCCCCCCCCAATCCCCATCCCCATCCCACCCGCCGGCTGACAAAAACAAAATATGAACAGGCTTCGACCTCCAAGGCAACACCTACTGGGAGTTTCGCCTCACCACCCGCGGCACCGGCGAAGCCGCCCCCAACGGCCTCGGCGAGGTTGAGCGCTGGCGCCGCATCGTCCAGTACCCGCGCGGCACCCACCTGTCCTCGGTCAAGGTCGGCCCGCTCTGGCACCAGTGGCTGCGGTACACGCGTCGCGACCCCCCGAGCCTCGACGAGCAGCGCGGCGACGTCGTGCGCCGCGCGCGCATGAAGCAGCTCGCCGCCGACGCCGACGCCCGCTGGGCGGCCAAACCTCGCGTCATGGAGGATCCCCTCCCCGGGCAGAAGGCGGCGCTGCCAACGGCGGCGGCGGCGGCGGCGGAGGAGGGGAAGGAGGCAGCGACGATGACGACAAGAACGAGCGCACGGGAGCCTGTCACATTACGAGCCGAATCGAAACAAAAAGCAAAAACGCAGCGGGACGAGGCCGAGGACGGGGCGGAGGAGGCTGTCGACCCAAAGGATCCCTGGAAGCAGGCGCGCACGAGGGGACCTAGTGAGGAGTGGCAGCCCCAGGCCTGGAGTCCGAAATCCAGGAAATGATAAAACAGTCATATCCATACTCTCTGCGGGAACGACACATTGAATTAAGCCATCACTTGGTATGCGTATGTGGCAGGGGGGTGTCTCTAATGCTGAGAGGTCCAAATGGCCTCGTTGTACCATCTTCTATTATAACTGTATCATAGTGTACATCTTTTACTGCTGCCTTAGCGAATGCTTCAAAACAAGACCTGTATTTCTCCCCGTCAATCGTCCGCGCCCCCCTCATCTCTAGTGTAGCAAAGCGCAATAGTGACGCTGCCTTTATGATGCATTCGTTGGCCGTTGAAAATCGTGGTATCTAATATCCTGCCCAGTAGCCCCCCCAAAAACGCCAGCCAAATAAAGTAGTTTAAAGGCCAAAACAAAAGAAAAAAGACAAGACACTTTTTTTAATGCAACATCCACATCTTCATCACGCGGCAGTCGACCTGATCACCTGCAGCAAGACGTGTAACCGATTAGCCGATGCGTCAAGCATCTCCACCGCCAGCGCGTCGTCCGGGTCCGGCTTCGCCCTGCCTGTCCGCTTGCGCTTGACCTTGGCGTGGCGCGCCTTGATGCCTGCGCGCACCGCGGCTGCCAAAGAGGGCGTGTACTCGAGCGCGTTACAGGTCCACAGCAGCTGAATAGCGGCCTCGACGACGAGCGACAGCTTGGCGTTATCTTCGACGCCGACCGTGTTGGCCGGATGCGCGACGTAGCAGTGCTCCAGCATCGCGGTGCTCAGCCGCGCCTCGGCCTCGCCCTCGGGATCGACCTTGTGCGGCGGGCGGTGGCTCGACGGCAGGAGCAGGCCAAACAGCTCCTTGAGCAGCGTGACACGGAGCTCGTTTGGTAGGGGCCCGCGGCGCTGCGCGACGACGAGTGCAAACTCCTCCAATGGTGCCACCTTGAGCGACGTCGTATAGGCGTCGTACAGGCGGTGCATGTCAGCGCCCTTGCGCAGCGCCGACGTCGCCGCCGACAGCAGCTTGAAGAGCCGCAGCCGCAGCGGCATCGTCTCGGTGAGCCCCGGAAACGTGGTTCCAAAAGATGCCGACGAGCGCATGCTGCGCGGCTTCTCGGGTGTCGGCGGCTCCGACGCACCCGAGGAAAATGCGTCGTCGTCGAGGTAGTCGCCAAACTTGTCGTTGTTCACGTCGATGCGCTCCTCGCGCTTGCGCTTCTTCGTCGCGTCGTGGCGGCCGCGGGGCTCCTTGTCAAAAACTTCTTGAAACGCCGACGTGGAGAGGCTGCTGCCGTCGGCGAAGAGAGCCTTCATGATGGCCTTGGAACCGCCTTGCGGCCCATTCCTTTGCTCCATGTACATGACGATAATGGACTCCTGTCGCATCGTTGTCGGCACGGGCCCGTCGCCGTCACTCGCCTCGTGCGCATCCAGGTCAAGCCGCTCGCGTTCCGTCCAGTCCGACTGCAGGACGTCGAGCATAAACTCGAGCCACGCCTTCCAGTAGCGCCAGCGCTGCGGGTGCAGCGTGCTGCAGTTGAACGCCCATCCCAACGTGGACCAGAAATCCTGCCCCCGGTTCCATACGCTGTTTTCGTTGGCGAGGCTGCCGTTGACGCGGTAGCGCTCCTGCTCATCCACGGAGCCGTCGGAAAGGGATCCATCGCTACTGTAGCCTGTCCGTTGTTGCCAGCGCGGAGTCGAGTAAAACTGAAAGGCAGCGCGTAGATTAGCCTTGACCGGACCAACGACCTCAAGCAGGCTGCGAAGGTAGCTGAGCGCTAGCGTCGCGACTTCATGTGATTTGTTATCGGCACGGTTTGTGTATACTGGGTGCACGAGTAGTGTGTTGAGGACTGCCAGGTGGCTTGGTGGTGGGACGTATGCGCTCCGTGTGGTTGGTCGTCGTCGCGAAGATCCTGCGCCAAGTACACTGTCGTAGAGGTTGATGGCGCCGAGATCTACAATGCTGGTCAGTATTTGCAAGTTAAATCTGAGCGCCTTCTTTTTTTTTTTACATACATAGCTGTTCTTCGAGAAAGATTTGGCAGTGTGCCTTGAGATCGCGCGGCAAGGGTCGCACGTCGCGAAATGGTGAATGCTGGTTGTGGAGAGGGCTGCTTGCTGCTGTCGACTGATGTGATGGCTCCGACTCTACCGCTGTGTGAAATGAGGTCGGTGATGATTCCGCACTGGAAATAGCTGACCGCGACATCCTCGCAGTGATGTCGTCGGCCGCGATCAGTTTCTTTTTTTTTTTGGTCTGCACGTCGCCCCTGGTTGATGCGGCTGCAAGAACTGCGGGTGTAGCCACTCTACGCGAGAGACATCTTTAGGTACGCGATAGCGTGACGACAGGCGGGATGGAAATCTTACAGTGCGGCAGAAGTGGCCCGGCTCGCCACACTGTGCACCACTTACATGATATGGTCTTTTTCACACTCGGCGCTGAAAGGATTAAAGTAACAATGATGCATTCATGGGGGGTAATGTAAATGCTGGCAAGATTGGACGGGACACATTTCTCAGTATGGAGGTCTCTATTGTGGTATCATTAGTCTATATAAAAGAGTAGAGCGATGGCGGCCAAAATTGGTCCTTTAGATAAAACAATTCCATCAAATATAATTATATCCATGTTTCCCCAGACGCCATTTCAATGCAGTATGCTCCTTGGGCAAGACAAAAATTTTCAATTGGAGCCGGCCTCTTGCTGTCTCTTCTCAGCCTCTCGTTGTCTCTTCTCTGCTTCAGCTTCGACCTCAGCCTCGGCTTCGGCCTCTGCAACTTCCTCACTTCTGGGCCCAGAAGCTGCTGAAGCAGCCATCATCTTTTGCAAAAACTGAGAAGCCTCCGAAGAATATTTGCAGCGAGCACGGATCTTGGCACCGTACATGTAAAAGAGGAGTGGGCACGGGAGGCAGGCAAGGGCTAGGAAAGCCGGAATGGAGCTAGCCCAATGGATGCCGAGGTCGTTGTACATGTATGTGGTGAAGAGAGGAAAAGCTGCACCAAAGAGGGATCGCAGTACTGAATTGGCCGCCAGAACGGAGGCAGCATAGATGACATAGGAGTCGATAAGGTAGTTGAGAAGCGCGAGGAAGACAAGAAGGATACCCGCGGCGAAGAATCCGGAGCCGACAATGGGTACGGCCCAGTGTATTTCGGGCCCATTAGTCCAAGCAAACCAGAAGAGGCCGACTGGAAGCAGTACAGAGCCGAGAATGGCAGGAGGCAGTCTCTCTTCGGGAGGAGCCATCCCGTTGGGGTATTTTGCCGCTGCCCGCCTATAACGCCGATTGTCAAAGACTGCGTAAACAGTCGCAGAAACCATACCAATGGCGATACCAACAAAAGCTAGGCCACCGATGCCGGGGCTCCAGCCGCGGCCAAGCTGGAAAACGATGGGAAAGGCAGCAAAGCAGAGGTACAATGTGCCGTAAATGATGGCGATGTAGATGGAGGTGAGCAGGACGATGGGCTCCTTGATGAGAAGAACCCAAGGACGAGTGATGGAAACCTTGAACTGAGCGACAACGTTTCGAGGAGGCCCATGAGCCTCAAATTTGCTAACGTACACCTTTCCAGTCTTCTTGCTGAGCTTGTTGGCGCGCTTGCGGAGCAGAACGGGAGCGTACGTCTCGGGATATGTTACAGAGCTGGCAATCCAAACAATGCCGCAGAATATGGCAATCATGCCCTCAACCCAGCGCCAGCCCTTTGACTGGCCAAGGAAGCCGCCTGCAATGGGGCCCAGGGCAGGGCCCAGGAAGGGAGCCATGGAGAAGAGCGCGCCGGCCTTGCCACGTTCTTGGGCACTGAAAATGTCGGCAATGACACCGCCGGCATTGGTCAGAGGCGAGGAACCAAAAGCGCCGGCAAAAAAGCGCAAAACGAGCAGGGCACCCATGTTGTTGGCGCCAGCGGCACCTGCATTGAAAGCAGTGAGACCGAGGTAGCTGATGAAGAAGAGCTGCTGGCGGCCAAAGACCTCGGAGAGAGGAGCCCACACAAGAGGTCCGAGGGCAAAGCCCAGCACGAAGAGTGAGACGCCGAGAATAGCAACTTCTTGCGAGACGCGGAAGTCGATGAAGATGTCGCGGATGCCGCCAGAGTAGGCGGACGAGGCAAAGGCGACGGCCAGGGTAGCGGCGGCCTGGATCGCAATAATCATCCACTTGCGACCCTCGGAGAAAGTGAAAGGGTTGTAGGAGTCTTCGGGGAGAAAGTCGACGACAAAAGGTGACTCGGTTGTTCCTTTGCCGGGATATTTGTAGTCAATGACGGCCTGTGTCACTCCAGCCTGGTCAAGAAAGTGTCTGAAATAGGAGACGTGGTTGACAGTAGGCGACGACTGGGCCTCGACATCACGATCCGAGCCTGCTGTCATTGATGATGCGTAGCCGCCAGGCGTGACAGCGCCGTTGTTCGGCGATGGTGGCGCCATGCCTGTCGGGTCTTGTCGAGCGAGGTTGCTTGGTGTTGTCGAAAACTGGTGCAAGTATCGGGTTGGCTGTCTTGCGGGGCAGATGCACACAAAAGTGATGGCACTGCGGTTACTATGCTAAATAGCAGGTACGAGAAATGCACTTTTGATTTGGCGAATATTAAGAAGAATCAAGTTACAAGCAAAGTGGGCAGGCAGCTCGCAATCTTATACTTGAAGATGCGATGAGACAAGTAAGGAACCCCATAAAACGGAGAAATATCAGGCAATGAAAAAAATTCAATCAGGGAGCAGATGCCACAATAAGCAGGCATTGTTATTACAAACCACCATCCGGTCCTCGTAAAGGCGACGAGTCTACACCCCCGACGCAAGTCCGCAAGACACCGCAGCTGATGGCTATTAGAGGGAGCGGTAATATCTCAGGCGGTAGGGCCATTTCCATCCGCGAGGACGCTTGCCCGCAAAGGGCAATTCCTAATGCCCGCGGCAATTTGCCTAGTCATCTCAGCAACCTCAAAAACGCCGATCGACCCACGACCGTCTCCCTTGATTGGGTCTTTGGCCGTTGTGGCGTTGAAGAGGGTCAGTGTCGCGGCCCAAAAAGGTGTCTATTCTCCGCGGGCTTCTCGCTTGTTCAATGTTTTTCGACGGGGCCCACCTAATAAAGCATATTTCCCCCCCCTTTGTTGGTGGACTTGATGACTCGACAAAAGGCCGACGGCATCTAGCCGTACGTGGGCTATGCTATGTAGCCGGCTTAGCAATGTGTGTCAGAGACGCTGTCAGAGGAACTAGCTTTCGTTTCGCCATTCGAATTCTATTTTACTTTTTTTTTTTTCATCCTTGTAATCATTTCGGCTATATCCATTATCAATTACCACCACCTCTTTCGAGTTGCACTAATAATGTAACCAAGTCAGTTAGCGGCAAGCAGGAATCTGAGACAGATGCCATGCAACCAGGTTCGGATGAGCCCGAAATGGTGCAAGGCCACCAGGATGATGGAACCACGATCAATAATAGCAAAGCCGACGTATGGCCATCAGCGTAAGTGGCTGATGATCCGGAGCCTTGCACTTCGTATGTGATAGCTGGCGACGACGACTTATTAGCATGAGCCTGCGCGTATCAAAACACAGCTGATATGCACATTATCGGCTGCTCATGTAGTTTTGTGCTCAGCTCCGAAGAGAAGGCGCCGTTGTATTGGGGTAGGAACACCGGCAACGCGAATTACGACGTGTCTCGTCGTTTCAGTTACGAGTGCGAGATTGCATCTTGGAGATGTGATGGTACTGAATACTCGCTGACATGTGACTCTCCTCTCCTCCTGCAGTGGTGGAGTGGAAGCGTGGCAGGTGGTTCGATCACCAACAAATCGTGTCGAACGCCTGCAAGGGTTACGTAGCAGTACTGATGATTTAGAAGCTTCTACGGCGTAATAACTGGCATAATTGGGCCCGTCATCATGGGACGGACTTTTTCTATTCCCACTCTTGTTCCCCGGGACAGGCCCTAATCTATTTAGTCGCGAGCCTTGACCACCGCCCCGGTAACAAGCTAAGCACCGTTGTCACCGACCTTCGGTCTTCGACTCTCTCATTAATACATATCAATCCAGGACACGCTAAAAGGTTCGACATGCTTTCGAGATCCGTGCGAAATCGTTGCATTCGGTAATTCCCCGCGAACTGTGCCCTCGGTAGCTGTTCGTTTCAGATATGTCGTTGTTTTTCAGCATCCGCCAGATATCCGAAACTCATTAGTAAAGTCCGCGGGTTTTGGGCAGGCGCCCCAGGTCATCACTGTACCGTATTAAAATCTTCTAAAAGACCACATCTCGGTCCCGAGAGCATGTTGCCAGATCTCATTAGTCCACGTTCCGCCATTGATCATTTAATGATGGCATTATTACCCCGTGCGCCAGCCGCCATTGGCTGGCGGCGCACCAAACCATGATCATCGGGGTCGTGCTTCCGCTTGTCTGACATTAGAAACCTGTAGCTGTCCTCACCAGACTGGCCACGGAGCCAGTCAGGGACCCACGGATCGGCCTCGTTGCCGTCGGTGCCGGTACCTGGCGTCAGCTTCTTGAGCGCTCTGAGCTTCTTGTCCGTGAGGTCCCTGTTCACCTGCTTTATCTCCTTATACCGGAATCGTCGGATAATAAGTCAATCTGTTGCGCTAGCACCCATTATTGCGACCTGTGTTCTAAGCCGCCAGCCGAATATTGTTGAACATGGCTGATCCAGAGTGATGGTGATTTGGGGGCCAGTTCTGCAGTCCTGGCATACCAAAGCCTGTGACTTCCTCGAGTTTGCCCCGCTCAATATGATGTAGTCGGGAACGCTACTTTTTGGTCTCGACCTGGGCCATTATCGAGAAAACTACCAGTAACTTATAAGTAGCGACAAGAGCAGACAAGAGCAAAGGATGTGCTGGATAATGTATCGATCGTAACCAGACAAATGGGGAGCCGATTATTACTCTCAAGCTTTGTTCTCTTTGCAGAAAATATTGCAAAGTACTATGCTGGCAAACCCGGCCCTCTACCCCGCCTCACAGCTCAGGCAACATCTCCACCTAGCGATCATGTACAAACAAACAGCGATTACTTCCAGCAGACTGGGAAGTTGACTACCCCCAAAACACTTCATTACGACGTACCACAACGCTGTGTACTGAAATATGCATTTGCGGTTGCCTCATGGGCCGTTCTGTTTTCTTTGCAAGGCTCCGCCAATCAAAGCTCGGCTGCCGACTCCTGCACTACGATGCGACCATCATGCCTTCCTTCGCATGGCCAGAGTTGGCCTTCCGAGCGCAGAGAGCGACCCTGACTGCAACTTTTACAAGATACAAAGCCTGCGATCCTCTTTCTTCGTTGAGATGAATTCTTAATACGTTCGACAGCATTGTCTTTCAATTGCATCTAGAAATACCAAACCACCCTCACCGTTATAAATCGGCAAACTTTCAATTGCCCACCCGCAACAAGGCCTGCTACGGCCATGCTTAGCCTCTGCGGCTGCTCATCTCGCCGTCGAGGCAAAAAGGCCTCAAGCGTATCCAGCGATGATGTGGCACCCAAAGTCACAGCAGGCAAGGGACCGCCCGAGACGATTAATCACAGTGCAATCATTCCTCCAGGCCCGAGTAGGCTAAGCTTGGATGACTTTGGCGTTCAAACCTTGGAGTTGCCGAAGAGAAAGAGTAGCAACGCACTCGAAGCAGTCAAAGCGAAGCTTATACGACACTGGTCATATAACAAGGACCAGCCTCAAAAGTCGCGAGCTTCGCCGGATGGCGACAAGGACGAGATTGCTCGTCGTGCAGAGCTTCGCCGATTCCGAGCCAGAAGAATTCAGGAGGAGCTAAATCAAGACCACAGCAAATGTGTATCCACGCATACTTCTATTCGAAGCACAAGATATTTGTCGCCCTTGATCGACATTGGACGTCCTGGCCGTGGTCCCAGAGATACCATCGAATTTTCCATTGACAGCAGCAACCCGCTGACTGCACCCTATCCATCTCCTGCTCCCACATTGTCGTCTTTCAGGACTAATTTTCCTGCTTCGTCAATGAAACGGTGGAGTAGCTGCCCAGCTTCAATTGGAGAACAGTCCGGCCAAGTCTGTTCGCCACTCTACAACAATTCAGGTGCATCTCTTTCAAGGAAACGCTGCACCACTCCGGGCAAGATAACAGAATCCAAATCTCTCCCCAACTTACTGCAGCCCAACATGAGAGCTCCTCAACTAGCCAGAACAAAAACAACTGGCCGCGCTAACGGCAGACATGGCAACTTCAGCGTTTGGCTTGCTCTACAAGAGTCTCGGTCACGAGATAGCTCGACGTCGGGCTCGGCAGAGTCCAGAATACAGCTTCGGCGTCAGGCTACACCTGCCCCTCAAAGACTCACCGACTCCAGTCATGATACTGTTACAATGCCTTTTCCAGAGCGGCATATTAGTGCTTCGCAAAACCGCTCAGCAGTATCACGGAGCGCCCTTGAACAGCGGGGGCCGCAAGCGACGACTTTCGCAATGCCCGGCTCCGTCAATCGATCTCGCCGATGTAGCTCCGCAGCCCCCTTTAATATAAAGAAGGGCACCTCCTCTGGCTCCAGTCAGGGACGAATTGTATCATCAGAGACACCTGGTGGTATCTCGTCTTCATACTATCCGTCTGTCATGCCCAGCATACAACCCAGCCCCAGTCGATCCAAGTCATTGGTCAATATTTTGAGTGTGAGGGACCTGCAAAGCCTGGAGCTATCACCTTTCGAATGTGAGTACATTGATATCATAAAAGGCTTTCCTAACAGTAGTAGGGCACGATAATGACTCCATTTTGAAAAACTTTGGCGCTTTTGCCGAGGATGGCAGCTCGTACGCTACGGCGGATGACGGCGAAGCTGATTCCAAAAAATCTCCCCCGCGCACCCGTCATGACAGTGTCAAACAAGATCATAATGGCCAAGCAGGCCAGACGAACACATCCAATAGGCATTTGCCAAGTACCTTGAGCATTGAGATACGACGCGAGAATAGCGAACCCGACATCACTGCTAGCGGTTCCAAGCTTCCAGCACCCAACTGGAATAGTCGCATACGGGCAGAAAGGACCGGGCTTCCGACAATTTGGAGGTCGGGACACGCATCCTGGGATATTCAAGCTAGTCTTCCCAAGCGCATCTCGTCCAAATTCTGGTCTCAATCCCGGACAGCCTCGGCAACGATACCCGAAACAAACACTCCAGGGTCAGTATGCAACGAGGGAAGCACGGATAATCAAGTGGAAATCGCGGCGGACCGAATATCTAATATTGGCAAGTACCGGAGAAATTCTCGCGCAACTTTACAGAAAAGCAAGGCCGGCAGTGATTCAGGCAAGCACCAAGCATATTATGCAAGGCAAGCTAATCACAATCAGTAGACATTCCCTTCTAACACAAATCTATAGCAAGTTACACGGCGGCTCAGATCACGTCATAGAGCAACCAGCCCTGTCTCGGAGTTCCGTTGCTTACAATGCTTTGCAGAAGGTTTCTCAACGAAACGCATCAGCACCTCCTCTGTCGTGGGCAAGACATCAATCGCGAAAGCAGAAGCAAAGTGCAACCAATGAAATCACAAAGACAAGGGCGAGATATTCCAGCGACTGCCAGGATAGTGGCCAGCCGTATCGCTACCCTATGGCTGAAAACAGGGACGTTCGCTCCATCAGTTTCCCGGCAAAGATGGGTGGCCTGGTTGACAATGTGCTCACGAAAATCATGCCTTCACGCAGATCATCGGAGAAGTTGGACACTTCAAGTCAAGAGACAAAATCTATCAAACACTTGCCATTGGAGCCATTGAAGATTAACGAATTGCAGACCTCCCCCGCGTTGGGAGAAATGGAGATATTCCGGCCTATGCAATCGACGCCAAACCCCCCAAAATGAGCACAAGCTTTTTAAGTCGAGGACCTCCAAGCTACCAAACGTCAGGCTTGGGCGTGATGATTGTTTTTAATTCAATTCGCTTTTACTATAGTTGCTCAGTCTTAGTACATGTGGCATGGCGGGCCACCATCTGCAGTGTTTAGTTAGACCAGGGCAAGACTAGCATCCACCTAGAGATGCTCATTATTGACGATTATGTTTATACTTGCGGACATTGGGATCATTTTATTTAGCAACAGATGTATGAACAAACTTTTATTTATGATCTGTAATGCGAAAAGATTGCTTGATGATGCTGAAACCTTTAAAAAAAAATGCAAGGCGCCGCACACCATGTTCATTTATTCAACTTGTCTATCCCAGGCTAATAACGTGATGAAAAAAGCAAATTTCTAATGTCTTAGACATCTTGCGGCTCAGTTGTCTGAAGCCCCTGTGCATCAACTCTCGCCTTCTCACGCATCTCTTCTCTCTCGTGGCGAAGACGCCGCTCTTGAGCCCTGCGCGCCAGCTTCTCGCTCCTCTCTCGCAGCGCGACGCAGAACTTGGAGCGTGCGCGAATGGCCTCGCCCTTCCAGATGAAGATGAAGGGGATGATGCACATGACGGCGAGTAGACCGCCGAGGAGAGAGCAGGCGCCGGCGATGCCGAGGCGGTCAAACATGCGAGTGGTGGCAAAGGGTAGAACGACGGCGAGGATGGAGCGGCTGGTGGAGGAGGCGGCGTTGGCGGAGGCGGCAAAAATTTCGTAGGCGTCGACGAGGTAGTTGAGGATGGCGAAGAAGATGAGGATCATGCCCATGCCAAAGGGGATGCCGGCGAGGAGGGGCACGACAAAGTGGACGCCGGGGCGGGCGGACCAGCCCATCCAGAAGAGAGAAATGACGAAGAGTGGCCCGCCGATGCAGGCGAGGGGCAGACGGCGGTACTCTTCGCGGCGGACCCAGGCGGCGCCGCGGGCCTGGGCGCGGGCGAGGACGCCATCCCAGTTCCAGAAGATGGGGAGGGCGACGGCGGCGCCGACGGCGACGGAAAGGTAGGTGAGGCCGGTCTCGCCGGGGCTGAGGCGGTAAAGGCCCTGGTATACGATGGGGTAGGCCTGAAAGGACATGTAGAATACGGCGTAGACGAGGCCGAGGTAGGCGCAGCAGCAGGCGACAATGGGCTCGGTGAAGAGCATGCGGAGAGGACGGGCGAGGACGACGCTGAGAAGCTGGCGCAGGTCCGTCTCCTCGAGCTCGCGCGGGGCGACAACCTTGTTGCGCTCGGGATCCTGGGCGCGGAGGCGGCGGGCCCGGCGCTCGAGGAGGACGGGTTCGTAGGTTTCGGGGAGGAAGAGCACGCAGGCGAGGGTGGCGCCGGCAAACATGAGATTGACCCAAAAGGCCCAGCGCCAGCCAATGTTGTCGGCGGTGTAGCCCGAGATGATGGGGCTGATGAGCGGGCCGAGGGTGGTGACGACCATGAAGATGCCAAAGGCGCGGCCGCGCTCGCGGGCGTCGCCAAAGACGTCGGCGAGGATGCCGGCGACAATGGCAATGGGCGAGGCGGCAAAGACGCCGGTGAAGAAGCGCAGGGCGAGCAGCGCAGCCCACGAGGGCGCGAGGGCGCAGCCCATGGTCAGGAGGGTGAAGCTGGAAAAGGTGGCGAGGGTGAGGTTGCGCCGGCCAATGTGCTCGCTGAGGGGACCCCAGATGAGGGGCCCAAAGACGTAGCCGACGAGGAAGACGGAGATGGGCAGGACGTGCTGCTCCTGCGAGGTGACGCCAAAGTAAGCCGTGATGAAGGGGATGGCCTGGCTGGGCAGCGCGGAGCCAATGGTTGAGTTGAGAACGAGGAGGGATGTTAGAGCAGTGATCATGTGCTTTTTGGACTGGTGGGCGCGGCACGCCGTCGGGTCAGTTTTTTTTTCTATTTGATTTGGTGCGTTGAGATGAGGGTTTAGGAGAGGAACCGAACGAACCTTGGGCCAGTTTTTGGGATTTTCGGGGTCATCGACTTTCCATTCTATCGTCTCATAGCCAGGACGGCTCCGTGTGCGTGAGCGAATCTGGTCCAGCGCGGCGAGGTTATCATTGTCCATGTCGTCCTCGTCGGGCAAGGACGAGTCGAGATGCTCCTCTTCTACTTGTCGGTTCATCTCGGTACTAAAGAGGCTGAGCTGCCCGGGGTCTGGGTTTGAAGTTCAGTAAATTATTGAGTAAGCAGGTTGATGTTTGATGGAATGAAACGTGAGAAGGCAGCAAGGGCGGTTGCCTTACGATGATGGTTCGAGGCATCCTTGCTCTCGTCGAGCACGGCGGAATCGCTGCCGTCCATTCTAGCCTACGACTTTGCCGGGTTGAATGATATTCGCCGAATCGACCCCCGTGTCATGACCCAGTCGCCAAGACGGCTTGTCGTCTGCGCGGTACGACAAACTTTGGGTAGATGTATCAGCCGGGTAATTTTGCAGCAGTGAGCCCAGTATGGTAAGTGCAAGATGAAGAAAACTCTCTCTGCGTGCCCATGCTGTGGAAAAAAAAGGTTGTAGAGGCCTTACACTATTAACCAACTAGTTGAATCATGGCTTGTCATCAGGCCCCCAAAACGTGGGGCTGTTTTCATCGTGCGGGCGCTCAAGGATTTTTGCCGGGTTTTATTCTTGACTAATTAGTAAATGAATTCCGAAAGACCAACAAATTCTTCAGTATCAAGTAAAGGTGGCTTGCGTGCCGCCCCTCCCCCCCCCCTCCTCCACAAAGCTGTTCCGAGGCTCTCGGGCTGAAAATGTTTCTTTCGTTCCGATGCGGATTCCGCAAATGGCGTGCGAGTCCCTAGCGTTGCGCTCCGATTTACGGCCCCGGGGGATAAGTGAAGCTCTCGCTACCATGCGATAAGTCCAAATCGGCCAAGTGCTTACATACAATGGGCTATCTAATATCCCTTTGACTGCCGAAAAGGAGCTCTGAGGTCAACTCGCAGGGGTCTGAACCAATAACATGCAAGTGGACACAGGTTACTTGATCGCCGTGGTTAATCACGCTAAATGAGAAGTACCATCCGTCTCCACAGGGACTACGGATTAGATAGCTACATAATTATGCATAATATATTCTACTACAGTAGACGGCCTATAATACCTCTATTTAATAAAGATAAAGGCAACGATAGACTAGAGTAAGATCCTTTTTATTAGATTTGAAGTTTTTAATAGAGGATGTAGATAGAATCTGTGATAAAGAGGGACGCCTTGTTAATGAAGTATCATTTTTGTATTGGTGATGTGCATGGGTCTCGTGACCTCAGAGCTACAATAGACTTGTCCGATACATATTTAGGTAGCATCAGAGACACGCGTGTTGCAACGGCAGCAAGTGCAGATCATTCTCGCCTCCCCGCTTTGTCTCATTACTGAGTACCATCCGTGCGTCCGTACTCTTCTGCGCTACGACAGGATATCCTTCTTTTTTTTTCTTCAGCGAAAAACAAACGGCCAGATAAATACACAAAATAAAGCGAAAAGTACAAGGAAAAATAAGCAGAAAATGCAATTATTTCCGCCCCAGCTCTAGTGACTCAAGGTCACATTTACCTCTCGTGGAATAGCTTCATTAGGTTGGCAATGACGTGCTTGCCCAGCAGCTCCAGCGTTCCCATACCCAACATTTCAAGCAGGCTAATTTCAAAGCCAAACGTCCCCTTCCACCACTTGCGCATCTCGATGCCCACAAGCGAGTCCATGCCAATATCCGACAGGCTCAAATCTGTTCGAAGGCTGTCCACCGGCTTACCGAGCATGCTCAGCACCTTTGTGCCGATTTCCTGCGCGAGGAGCGTCGCCGCCTCGGGTGCCTCCAGCACTGCCTTGTCGGACCGCGCCGACGACAGAAATGCCCGGAGGCCGTCGTTGCGGGAGCCCCCCTGTCCGCCGCCGCCGCCGCCGTCTGCGTCCCTGCGGTTGCGGTACATGGCCATGCGCACGTCCCTTTTCCAGAGGGCGCGGCTGTCCGGCGATGACAGAGGAGTAGTCGACCCCAGACCAATGGCAAAGGCGGCCGGGTCGACAAAGGCGCGGCTCCCGTCATATGTACGGCTGGCCTTGGGAGACGGCTTCTTGATGGCGAGCGACAAGGCGCTAATGACATCCGAGGCGCGCACCGTAACAAAGTCCATGCTCTTGAAGCCCGTCAGCAGGGAAGGGTCTCGCGCAACGACACCCATGTCCTCGACGACTCCGACGTTGATGGTCGACGCCGCGAGACCAAGGTCGTTTCTATACTGGGCAAACGCGTCCAGAAATGTGTTTCCGGCAGCGTAGTTTGTCTGGCCTGGCATGCCCACCACGGCTGCAATGGAGCTAAACATGACAAACAGGTCCAGCGACGCGCCAGCCTCCAGGGATGCATTGTGCAAGTTCCACGTTCCGCGCACCTTTGGCTCAGAGGCTGCGACCCAGTCGTCAAACGTCATGGCGCCCCAGGCAGTGTCGCGCAGTACCATGGACATTTGAATTATGCCCTTGACGGGGAGTGCGGCTTGCTGAATGGCTTGGCGCACATCTTGCATGCAAGTGACACTACCTTGGAGTGCCTGGACGCCCGCACCCATCGACACTAATTCTGCAATGAGCTGCTGGTGGCTCAACTCTGTACCGGCGCTCCGAGACAGAAACATGATATTGCCGGCGCCGTTCTCGGCCAACCAGATTGCAACCTGGCGTCCCAAACCTCCAAAACCACCTACCAACAAGTATGAACCGTGACTGTCCAGTTTGAGGTATCTTTCACGCTGCACGACGGATATTTCAGGCCTCGCGGCAGGCCTGCGAGCGACCTCGAGCTCATTCCGAATCTCCACGACAGCTTTACTGTCAAACGGATGATCAAGCATGTGCGCAAATGCCTCGGCGGCATCTTTGGCGGCAAAAACTTTGGGGGGACTCTTCGCTTTGACGGCGCCATGCAGGTAAAAGCCCATCGCCGAGCGAAGATGGGTCGCCGCGGCATCAGGTTTTGCGGAGCAAAGACGACGCAAGTCCGCAATCCTGTACGAGGCGCCCTTGCTGTTCAAGATGTCATAAAAGTCGCTGGACGAACCCGAGCACATATCGATCACGCTGCCGCAGTCCGCCACGCAACGACACACCTGTCGCCCAGTGTTGCCGGCAAGTGAGGCAGCGTTGAGTAGCATGTCAACACCACGTCCTCTAGTTGCCTGGATCAGATCATCGGCGAATGACGGCTTGCGTGCATCAAAGATGCGCTCTTCAGCTAGGCCGTGCGTCTCGGCTGTGCTATTATCTGCAGTCACATAAATCTCGGCGCCCAAAACTTGCGCCATGCGCAATGCAGCAAGACCTAGATGAGTATACGCCCCGTGTATCAGGACTGACTGGCCGCCAACTAGCCCGCCGAGCCCGACTAGAGCAAAGTCTGCGCTGCTGTACGTATAAGGGATCGTAGCAGCTTCTGCGAGGGTAGTGCTTTCGGGTATCTTGACCACCAATTTCTGATGGACAATGACAGATGTAGACATGCTATCCTCGCTAAGAAAGGCGACTCGATCACCGACCTGGAATTCGGTGACGCCGTCTTCAACCCGATGAATGACACCAGCGCCCTCGAGACCGAACGTGGCTTGTTCTTGTTGTTTGGCGGAGCCCAAGGCCAGCGATACATCCTAAAAGAAGAATTTTCGGTTAGTTCGGCACGGACGGACGTGTGCATAACATGGTGCAGTTGAACATGGACTTACCACTTGATTCAGTCCAGATGCAAATACTGTAATCTCTACCTTGTTTCGGCTGGGCTCGACGGCAGGGTAGCTTTGCCACTCAAGCTCGGCCGGGCGACCCTGGCGCCCAGCTCTCAGAACTGCTCTATCATCCTCTTCGGCAGTCAAGTGTTCTTCTGCAAGCGAAAATGGATAGTACCGTCCAACGTGGACGCTGCCATTGTAGATTGCAAATTCCATCTCTGGTGTAGCATCAGTAGAGGCCTGCCAAGCGCCGTCTTTATTGCGCATTGTGAAATAGTCCATGACATCAAGAACCAGGTCATTGGCAAATTCTGTTTCAGTCTGACAGACTGCAAAGTCAATGTCGAGCTCAGCTCGGATCGATCGTCCAAACCCAACCACTTGAGCGTAATCAGGAGTTGTTGCTCTGCGGAAGGAAAGTGGCGATACCCATAATAGGCCAGAGCTTTCCAGTCTCGATGTGAATCTGTTGAACAGTTGAAAGGTCTCTGCAGACATGCTTGAGAAGAAGCAACTCTTTTCATCACAGAGTGCAATAACGTCCTTGTTTGCAGGCGGTTCATCTTGCAACGTAATCTGCTCGACATTGTAGCCTCTTTGCTTCAGTCTGGCGCTCATCTCTGCAACATCGTGGCTCAGGTCAACAGTCAGGACGCACAATTCATGCTTGGCAATGCTCTTCACAGCAACCTTTGGCTTCGCGATGAACAGGTTGTTCGTGTGGAAAGGATTGCCAATCTCGGCGGCTATGACGTCGTCAACTTCGAGCCCAGCGTTGTCCAAGGCATCAGTCCACCCCTTCTCATCAAAACGTTGCAACTGTGCTGCAGAGTCCCTTGTCGCAGTCCACCAAGACTGTGCGGTGCCCATTACCAGGTCTACCCAGCGCGCGTCCTTTGTAGCAGCCAGCTCTTGAAGGATCAGGCGGCCATTGGGGCGGAGGAGAGTGCGAATGTTTTTCAAGGATCGTACTGGGTCGTTTGATCGATGTACTGCATCAATGGCAATGATGAGGTCGAATCGGTCTTGTTCCTCAGCAAACTCAGAGTCTTGAATGCTTTGGCTAATGTCCAGCATCTTGAAATCCATATTCGCAACACCTTCAAAGCGCATCTTGCCCTCATTAACCAGGTTTCTGCTGGCATCTGTAAAAGCGTACGCCGAGTATCGCCCGTGGAGACTGTCCAGACACTGCGAGGTCAATGACCCAGAGCCTGCATTTATCTCCAAGATGCGAAGATTCGGCTTTGTGTGGGCTAGAGACGCAAGAACGGCGGACAAGTCAAACTGGCCGATAAGAGGAGAGATCTGGTCGCGCACAGTGAGACTTTCCAAACTTTTAGTGCCAGCACCCTGTTTCGTGGCCACTTCGCGAATGGCAGTGGCTGTTGTTTTGATGGCGTCCGCCAGGGGAAAGACTGATGAGTTGCCAAGTTCGTCGACCATTTTCCCAAGTTTTTCGAATAGTTCGTCGTCGCTGAGCGTACTTTGGAGGCCGCTTCCTAGCTGTAGATTTACCCAGGCTCGATACACGTCCAAGCTTTGTAATGCTGTTGATGATGTAGCAAGAGAGCGACCGATGGATAGAAGGGCTAGGTCGGTAATTTCATTGACTTCCGTAGCAAAACCACTTCCATCATGCTTCTGGTCCGCCAGCTCCCTCAGACGCTCAAAGTCAAAATGAGGAGCCCAAACTGGCCGGGCAGCTGCGTGTGAGTCGGATTCGCCCCGGTGGTTCATGACATTGATCCTCGCTCCAGAAACGCTGATGACTTTTCTACCGTTCCAATAACCCTCACATTCTCCAACAAGTGTGCCATTCTCAAGAGTGCGGCTGACGGCACCAGCGCTGAAGTTGGTGGCGCACGGGGCGACACTGAGGTAAGCAATGGAAGTGACGATGTTGAGACTCAGCTTCCTGGACAATCCGTGCAGCGAAGCGACAGGGATCAGCTGGAACACATTGTCCATGGAGGTTGGGTGCATGTAGTAATTGGACTCTTCGTCGGTGGTAGAGTTTCGAATTGTAGCTTGAGCCTTACTTGGGCTTCGGGTTGACGATTTCAGGTCCTGTATACATCGGAAAGCGGGACCAAACTCGAATTCAGTGCGGCTAATCATCTCGTACCACTCCACAGAGTCTACGCTTCGCGGCAGATCATCAGTCACCGTTGCCTGCCCAAGAGGTTCGTCGAGAGTAGCGGCTGCCCCGTGAAAATGTCGTACCCAGGTGCCCCCGTTGTGGGAAGCAATGGAAAACTGCCACCAAGCACTGGTAGAGTCGACGCGATGAAAAGTCGTAATCAGCTCAACGGGTTTGTCATCTGGAACAACGAGTGCCGTCGTTGCAGTCGCGTCCCGGAGCTGAAACCCGTGGCCGGTGCCGGTAATCTGACGGATTGCCTCGCCCGCCATGGCAATGTACGCCGCAAAAGGAAAAACGACATCTCCATTAATCACATGGTCCCGTACCCATGGAGCATTGTCCAGATGAAACAAATTACGCCAGACGGGGTCAAAGTCTGTCGATTCTAAGGTTCGAAGGCCAAGGACGTCGTGGTGCTTGAAGCGGCGTTCTCGCCACTCCCGCATAACCCGCGTCTCGTGCCAGTAAGCCCTCGAGTTATTCCAAGGATATGTCGGCAAGTTTCGCAGAGTCACTCCGGTCGGATACAAGCGCTTCAAGTCAAGAGAAGCTCCAAGAGTGTAGAGCTTTCCAAATGCTGAAAGCAGCGACTCTGTGCATGGCTGTCCACGAAGCATGGCCGCTACATATGGACTTTGCGATACTGCTTTATGCTTGGCAAGAATCTGTCGCACCGGCCCAGAAAGAGCAGAATGAGGGCCAATCTCAAGGAATATAGCATTCTGGCCAATCGGGGTCTCAGCAACTGCAGATACCGCGGCGTTGAACAAAACAGGGCTCTCAAGATTCTTTTGCCAGTACTTGGCTCCAAGAAATTCCGTCTTGTTCAAAAGTCTGCCTTCCACTGACGAGAAGAACGGTACACGGGGTTCGCGGCTGCCAAGTCCTTCACCGACAAGATCAAAGTAAACAGGACCGACTTCAGCCATGTGGTAGGAGTGGTAAGCCTTGTCAACCTTAAGCAAACGAGCCAACACATCCGGCATCGCTAAAGATATCGCTTGCACGACTTCAGCTACCTTGTCTGCATCGCCAGAAATCGTCACGCTATTTGGAGAGTTGTCGCAGGCTACTCCAACAGTGGGGATGAGGAACGGCTTCACGTCGTTCCAAGAGAGACCGATGGCTGCCATGGCACCTTCTCTGTTTTGTTTCTCAGCAACAGCACCGCGATGATAGGCGGCAGTAATTGCTTCTTCTAGAGTCAAGGCGCCAGCGGCATAGGCACCAGCAATCTCACCGGACGAGTGGCCGACAACGGCGCTGGGAGTGACCCCGATGGCCTTGAAGCATTCAACGAGAGACACTTGTACTGCAGTGCATAGCGGCTGTGAGAATTCCGCAAGGTTGACACGGCTGCGCTTTGCCGTCTTCTTGAGTTCGCCCTCTATAGTCCAGTTCAAATCTGCACCGCCAATTCTTTTCAGCTCCAAGTCCATTCTCTGGATGCTGTTTCGGAAGTTCTCGTTTGACTTTAGCAAGTCACGGCCCATTTGGGGCCATTGTGCGCCCTGGCCGGTGAACACCATGACGATGTTCATTTCAGAGCCGCCGGACGACGACGGAGTGGGTATGGACGGGCTTCCCGGGCTGTCACGGCTAGCAACGAGAAACCCACGGTGTTTCAGACTCTGCCTTTTATGAACAAGTGTATAGGCAACATCTTGGATGCGCTCAGGGTGCTTGTTCAGGTACTCTGCATAGCTCTTGCCCATGGAGGACAGCGATTCGGATGTCGCTGCAGAGTACACTAGCAGGTGTGGGTGGTCATTCGCCTCTTCCAACTGCTGCCCGGCTTCAAACAGCTCTGCCGAATCGAGGATGACGTGCGAGTTTGCTCCACCGATGCCAAAGTTGTTGATACTGACTCTCTTCTTACGATCCTCAGGCCAAGGCATAGTGTCTGTCGGGACCGTAATGTTGTATTTGGCAAACGGAATCGCCGGGTTCGGAACATCAAACTTGATGTTTGGTGGAATTGAGTTGTGCTCAAGTGATAGTACTGCTTTGATGATTGAAGTCAATCCTGATGCGCCTTCAGAGTGTCCCAGATTTGCTTTGACTGAGCCAATGTAGATGCCGTCATCACCACCAAAGAGGGACCCAACGGCCTCAGCTTCAGCAGGGTCACCAACAGGTGTACCTGTGCCATGGCATTCGACGAATGCCGTCTCCCGTATATCATCTATTCCAGCCATGCTATATGCATGCTTGATCAGTTCCTGCTGGGCCGCAGTGTTGGAAGCGGTGATACCGCCTGCGCGTCCATTGTGGCTGGTAGCCGCCGCCCGAATGATGGCTCGCACAGGGTTGCCGTCACGTAGGGCTGCACTCAGAGGTTTAATATAAATAGTGCTCACGCCTTCTGCTCTTGCATATCCATTTGCATTTGCAGAGAAAGATTTGCACGAGCCATCTGGGGATAGAGCGCCTTGCTCGCCAACTTGAATTGACGTGGTAGGGCCCATGATGATGCTGACACCACCCACGATGGCACCGTCACACTCTCCAGTGGCAATAGCTCTGCATGCGCCACTCAAAGCTGAAAGTGAAGATGCACAGGCCGTACGAACAGTGACACTTGGATATGCTGTTAGCTGAATCCAGTGTGTTTGCTCCCTAAGTTCGTAGAAAAAACATACCTAGGTCCTTTGAGGTTCATCTCGTATGACACACGGTTGGCTAGAGCAAAGTCGTCAAGACCCAGCAAGTGGTACGTGCCATAGTTCTGTGTTTCCTTCTCGTAGACGTCGGACCACCCGCGTTGCATGTCACCGACATACACACCTATGCGCCTTCCCGAAGTGCCCATCTCGCCAGCATCATCGATACACTCTTGAGAGACTTGAAGGAGCAAGCGTTGTTGTGGGTCACAACGCTCCAGCTCCTTCACAGACATGTGAAAACGCGAGGCATCAAAGCCCCGTAGATTGTCGTCAATGAAATATCCATAATCCGTCCTCGTTGCTCCCGGCTTGCTTCGTGTCGAGGAGAAACCATCCGTGTTATATCGGCTTTCTGGTACTCGAGATCGACCATCTTGTTTGTTGGTCAGGAAAGTCCACAGTTGTTCGGGGTTTTCGATGCCACCAGGGAGCCGGCATGCCATGCCGCAAATGGCTATGGGATCTTTCGCCGCATTTCCGTTTGCACTGCTTGTTTCGCTAACGGCATAGCTTTGCAGCGGCGACTGGCTACCCGAGTCATGAATCTTCAGTACTCCCGGCATCTTCGCGTAGAATTCAGTAATGAAGTAGAGTTCAAACGAGATTTGTGGGCAGAAATAAGTGTGATGACTCAACAGAGGTAACGAAACGAAAAACCCCCCAGGAAATCGCAGTTTGATCCGTCTTGCTTATAGCTTAGTGTGAAAGTGGTGAACATCAAAGAAGAGGCTGCAAAGAGTAAGCGCCAGTGTCTTTGAGACAACATACTTTTCCGAGAGGTTTGAACACCATCTTCGCCTTGAAGCTGTTTTGGGCGAATTCTCCGGCCGATGCATAGCTTGGCATGCCGATAATCACGCCAGTGAGTCGACCTCAGAGATTCAGGTCTACACAATGTTTTTTACCATACGCTTCAGATTGGCCGGTGGCGCATCTGTAATCAATAAGTTCGTAAGCCTGGCGGGTCTGTCTGCACATAAGAGCCGAGCATAGAGTAGTTTCGGCCAATACCTGCGGTAGCTCGGATACCGAAGTAGAATAAGTAGGTAACAAGGTAGGAAGCTGTACGATAGCACCATAGAATCTGCCAATGGCGGCAGAGACAAGATGCCGAATGAAGCTAAGCAAGGCTAGCAAAAACTGAAGCAGAAGATCGGATAATGGCGTAGAAGGGATCGTTCAATTGCTCCGATGTCAGCTGCTCGCAATGAAGACACAGCGTATTTACGTACAACCATAGGATCATGGAAAAGCCAAAAGCATAAAACGTTATAACTTACGGTATTCCCAGTCACCGTGTAAGCTGGCAGACCAAATACAGTCGTGCTTGTCGCAAAGTTTCTTCCCAAACCTCAATCGCAGCAAAAAGGGCATTCTTGCAATTATTAACAGCTAACTTCTGATTCGTCATGGCCAATGCTGAACTTCTCGCGCAGTGGTTTCCGGACGCCCCAGCCAAAGCACCAGGCCTACGGGGGCAGTCCGTATTTTATCGCAACCTGGAGGAGCAGCTTGACACACGCCGTGCAGAGCAGGCTGTGTTTTACATGCGCACCAGCGAGCCAGCGCCAGGTAGCATCGATTTCTCGACACTGGACTTTCTAGGTCTCACGCACAGTGGTTTGATCCGACAGCCTTTCTTGGATGAGCTGGCTGCACATCCGAAGTTTCGGCTCGGGGCAGGCGGCAGCCGGTTGCTAAATGGCAACAATGCGTACATCGAGGAAGCAGAAGCCATCATTGCCGACTTCCACGAGGCGGATACAGCACTTCTGTTCCACTCCGGATTTGAAGCAAACGTAGCCATCATGTTGTCCATCCCGCGACCTGGTGATGCCATTGTCTATGACGAGCTCGTTCATGCCAGCCTGCATGAGGGCATGCAGGGCAGTATGGCGCCGTGTAAGATGTCGTTCCGTCATAACGATGTCGACAGCTTCCGTGAGACTCTCGTACAAGTGCGGGAATCGCAGCAACGGATCAAAGAGGGCAAGAACTCAGTGCTTGTCGTTCTCGAATCCATGTATAGTATGGACGGGGACGTAGCGCCACTGAAGGAGTTGCTGCAGGTTGCGGACGAATTGTTTCCCGAGGGCAACGCACAATTCTTAGTCGACGAGGCGCACACCACTGGAGTTTACGGCCGACAAGGCCGCGGCTTTGTTGATTACATTGGCGTCGCTCACAAGGTCGCTATCCGAATGCACACTTACGGAAAGGCCATGGCCTGTACGGGAGGTAAGTTCTCGATGCAACGTGAAGTACCAGATTCCACACCCCACAAAGCTGCAAGAATGGATGGGATGGTGGGTGGGCGCTGAGGGTTTCCTTTTCTGGAACAATACTGATAGTGATGCTACAGCCGCCGTGGTGTGCAAAGCGCCCGTGCGCGACACACTGATCAATTTCGCGCGAGGGTTCATGTACTCTACCGCACCATCATTCCCAATGGTGGCCGCCATTCGGGCAGGCTATAAGCTGCTCATGACGAACCAGACACAACATGTGAGTTTGCGCTCCAGAACACAGCCCACAGTGATTGGTAGACATATGACAGTGTAAAGGGGGCATGCAAAGGGGGCATGGAGTGATGCCAAGGAAACTGCAAGCCTTGAGTGCGTAAGCCGTACAGCCTCACAGCAATGGGATCGGGTGCGAACAAGACAACAAACAGCCGGAGCTAACGATGATGTTTCTGCACGATGCAGCTTCAAGATCAGATCCAGAACCTAGTCAGGCACTTCTTTCGCGCTCTCGAGATGAACCCTGTCTGGGAAGAGGCGAGCGATGAGGGGATGCTCAAAATTCCCAACATGGAGGACTGGGAGAGCAAAACGCACGTCACGCATGTGGTCCCCATCATGACGCGGCAGCGGTATACTGTCTACCTCTGCTGGCATCTTCAGCTGTCCGGTATTAACTGCTTCCCCATCGATTACCCAGTGGTACCGCGAGGCATGAATCGGCTGCGCGTGGTGTTCCATGCACACAACACTGAGGCTGAAGTTGAGAAGCTTGCGTCTTGCCTGTGTGAGTGGGCGACAGAGATGATGGAAATTGAGGAAAGCAGAGACAAGGGAAGATTGCCCGGTGCGGCACGCCAAGTCATTGATGTTAAAGCTGCAAAGCGTTAGGCAAGAGCGAGGTGGGCAAGTTGCAAGGGATGCACGGATGAGTTTGAGGCCGGCTGACAGGAGCTTGTCGGTCGCATAGGACCGAATTCCGAAGATCTGCGGTACAGCCTCAGGCCCGTCCAAGGTAACGATCGTTAAGAATTTCCATGTCAGTACTATGCGCTGCACTAACAGCGTAGCTCTGTACAACATATGGACAAATGTTTGCATATTTTACCCGCTAGGAAAGAAGGTCTCATTTAGGCTAGAAGAATTATTACTACAAAGTATACGCCATCTCGTCTGTGGATTATAACAAAAAAAAAATCTCCATGCAAATGCCACGGGCTTGGCCTTGCCTAGCCGTGTTCATGCAGTGCGCGCCCGGCTTTGATGGTGTAATTAAGTAACAACTGTGGCAGTGTTGCGTACTTTGGTGGCGTCAGCCTGTCACAGAATCGAACTAGTCATCAAAAGGGTCTTTTAAAAGTTTAGCTCGACCAGTTATGAACAAAGTATTTCAAAGAGCGCTGTGGTAAGGCCTGATCATCTTCAGCTTAAACATGCCTCTAGGCAATAATATAATCTTCATCTCATTTTCTTCAAGATATATACTACATCCTTCCACAATTACGTATACTTCTCTCTATTACATATAGCGTGGGGGTATCTGTCGTGCAGCACTGTGTGCTCACTGGGGACACCGTCCATGTAAGCCCGAGGCTGTCTTATTCTGGTCTCATCAGCATCAACGTATCAGCAAGGGCGTGTACCGCCTCATTGCAAAGTCGGTGACTCTGTAGAGCATGTCAACGGGAGGAAAGCCCCCGCGTCTACGCAATTCTTGTGTCGAATGCACTTCTGCAAAGGTTGGTCGGAGTAGCATCACGAGCGACAAGCAAAGCTACCGCGCATGCTTCATTCACTACGTGGCACCTACGTATGCTAACTATGCAAACGGACAGGTCAAGTGCTCGGGAGAGAAGACGGGTTGCATACGGTGCGCAAAGCTCGAGTTAGACTGCAGATACTTAGTTTTAATGGCCGGTCGTGTGCCGAGATGGCAAAAGACGACTTCGTCGACGGAAATCAAGAAACCGCAATACCCACGCTCTATTCTTCCTTTGCCGAGAGAACCACGTCAAAGTAGCGCCATGGAGGGAGAAACGGCTCGCCTGTCGGAAGTCAGTCTGTCCCCAAATCCATCTCGCACAGCGGAAAATGCTTTTTCGTTTCCTCTTGGAGACTTGACATCCGATGGAGAGGGCGTCTTCGCGGCGGGTAATGATGGCGGCTCCGATCGTTACAACACTTACGAAGCCAGCGGGGCGACGAGCGAACCTCAGTGGGCAGCATTTACAAGCGACTTCTCTGGGCTCCTCCACACACCGGACGCGGGTCCCAATAACATCAACATGGACAGATTGGCAGAGTACTCTTTTTGCAGCAGCGGTTCGCTGACACCAGATCAAGCTAATCTTGGGGGCGCCAGCCACGGCAGCTCGCCACCGCATCGTAGATGGAGCAACGTTATCAAGCCACTTGGTGTTCAAGGGCCTCTGGGAGTCCAAGGCGTGCTGATGACCACGCAGATCATCAACATCGTCGAAGATTCACTTGCAAACAAGTCCCAATCGCTAGAGATGCTGCTAGGCACTATTCAAAAGGCGAGCGTGGCGCTAAACGGATTGATAGGCTTGCATCACCACAGCGACAACCCGCGCTGCCTGATGCTGTTCCCAGTGGTTCTGCACCAAGTCGCAGAGCTGATGGAAGTGGGCATCGAGTCGCTCGACGCCTTCAACTGGAAGACGGCCGCAGAGGCGTCGGGCACGGCAGCCAGCAACTCGATCCTGGAGCGCCTCGACAGCCTCAACGACCTGATTTCCAGCTACCACCCTGCGACCGCGTCTCCGCACAGGGATGAGGACAAGGTTCGTCGGTGGACCCGACGGCTAGAAGAGGGGCTGGACGCGAGCCTGATGACAGTGGGACGACTAATGGAGCTGGATCGAGCTTGCCGGGCAAGGGGTGGGCAACAGCAATACCGGCACGAACATGCGAGGCAAAGCGTTGGCGGCTGCGCCCATCTCGAAGCCCTTGCCGAGCGATTCCACCTTTTGCGACGACGGCTTTCAAGATAAGAGTTGACCTGAGAACAGAATTAGATGCGAGCAAACAGACAAGACGCAGCTAGCTGCAATCATGAATAGACGATACATTTTTGCGCATGCTTGTTCACGAGAGCCTACCTACCTAAAAAAGGCAACACACATCTAGGCATTCGCCCCGTGCTGATGATTGCAGCTGCACCAAAAAACAACGCAGGCAGAGTGTTTGCGGCAAGTTGAAGCCTAATGAGAAAAATTCCATTCCGGCCATTCCGATCACGGACGATTCACGGTTCAGCTCCGTACTAGTGCGGCCGCATGACCCATCACACTAATACTAGTGCAGAGATGCGTTAGTTAACTATGGGTCAAAGAACAGACCATGAGTAGATCGTAAAAATTACTTCGGATGCCATATTTGATTCACCCTGCGCGGATCTTCGGTATCCGAGGAACCAATCACTGGTGATATACTCGTTTACGCCCGCTTCTCGGTCATGCCACGCCAAGAATATAAGCACCTATTTATGCAGCACCTTGATTCTGTCCCGCAGAGGGTACGAACAAGTACATCTGTTTGACGGGACGGATCGTTGCATACGCAGCTACACCAAACAAGGCTCTTATTCTTGCAGCAGCAGATATTCAACGAAAAAAAAAGTTTCTCTTACAATAGATGGACTCTAGTGTACTACATAAAGGAAAGAGTTGTCATTAATAGCTAATCCGGTGCGAAAATGCACCTATTTTCTTTGTCGCTCATACAAGTGCCACCGCTGGTTTTAATTAACCCGCGCTTGGCAGCCAGCCTTGTTTGATTGCATCCGTCCGTTGATTTATAAGCCAGTTACACAATCACAACAATCGTTTGAATCGTAGTATTTCTTATTTACATGGCTTGGTAGTAGCGACAATTTGAGGGAGAAAAGACAAGCCGTTGTGCAAAAGTTTTTTCCAAGGAACGCGCCTGTCGCTTCTGGCACATACTTACCAAACTGCGCACTACTTCAGGTGCCAGACGTAGCAGTACAAGTAACCTGCTGTCAAACGCCGCTCGTACATATGCGCCGAGTCCCGTCATACTAAGAAGTCAACATGCAGCAGGCATCCGAGGACAATGTCCCTCAGACGAACAATCTAGTCTCGGGTCATATTGAGAAAGCAATGGGCCAGCATGATGCAGTCGGCGTCGATACCAAGCATGAGGCTTCGACAGAAGATGATGCCACTGAAATCACTCGTCCAACCCTCAGAGACAAGCTTAATAAGCCGTTGCGATTCCATCTTGCCTTTTTGTCGCTGCTCATCATGGTCTTCATCGTGTCGGTGGATGCCACTGCTCTCGCCGTCGCTCTCCCTGTGAGTTCCTGCTCGCGTCAAGGTTTTTCGCGCACATGTACAGAAACTGACGTAAATCTCTCCTCGCATGGCAGACCATCACGAAAGAAGTCAACGGCACCACGCTCGAGGCCTTTTGGGCCAACATTGCCTTTCTCCTCCTGGTCACCATTGTTCAACCAATCTATACCACCCTCTCCGACATTCTCGGCCGCAAGATCCCGCTCTATGCCGCCTTTTTTCTATTCTTTGTTGGCTCCATTGTCTTTGCTGTTGCGCCGTCCCTACCCGTCATCATCCTCGGCCGTGCCATCCAGGGGCTGGGCTGCGGCGGCATCGATGTTCTCAATGAGGTTATAATTGCCGACATCACCACGCTCAAGGAGCGAGCCTTTTACATCGGCATGCTCTCTGTTCCCATGGCACTGGGCACTGTCCTGGGTCCAATTCTAGGTGCCGTCTTCAGCGAGTACGCTACGTGGCGGTGGATTGGCTGGATTAATCTTCCGCTTGTCGGTATCTGTCTGCCTCTGACAATTTTCTGTCTCCGTTTGAAGCCCATGCCCGATACTTTCCGGCAGCAGCTGGCGAGAGTAGACTGGACAGGCATCGGGCTGTTCACGACCGGTGCTGTCCTCTTCACGCTTCCCCTCAGTTGGGCTGGTGCCATGTACCCCTGGGGCTCTTGGAGGACAATTGTTCCATTGATCATTGGTGTACTCGTCTTGGTATTCTTTGGTTGGTACGAGTCGAAGCCTGCAGAGCCAATGTTCCCACACCGCATTTTTCGAAACCGTACTGCCGCTGCCACATTGGCAGGAAGCTTTATCCACGGCCTCGTGCTCTACACGCTAATTTCCTACTTGCCGCTTTACTTTCAGGCAATCCTTCTCAAGTCACCCCTCGATTCTGCCGTATCTCTCATACCGTTCTTCGCCGTTCTCATGGCGTTTACAGCTATTGCCC